AGTATGTTACCATATTTGGGACTCTCTGCTCGTGTACTATAGCTATGCTTCCGGACTCTTCTGGTACTGTCTAGGACAATCCGTACTACTCCAGAACGGTCTAGACAGGTCTATGCCTTACTCATCTCTTACTCATCCTATGGTGCGATACGTCGCAATTCTTTCACCATCGTATTATTCATCGCACTATGGTACATGTGACTAACCACTCTTCGATTAGTCATGGACACTTCTCTGTAGTATATAAGGACTTCAGATTGTGTCCTCCCTCTTCAGTCTTTCCTTACTGACTGAAGAGTGAGTACTTCGTTACATCCATCTCTAACTTGTAGTTACTTACTTGACCTTTGTAGTCTTGCTTCGACTCTAGGTACAGTTCGTTGCTGCAATATAGTCTTTCCTTACTGACTGAAGATCTTGCTTCGACTCTAGTCGGATCTAATCCTTGTCTTCACAGCCCCGAGTTTATCAACGCCGCTCACCAGTCGGATGCATCTGTGTCCCTCGGGATCCACTTTACTGGACAGGTTCAGTCGGGCAGCCGTTTGCTCCCACGTTCTCTGGCTTCGTTTGCACAACCGGTTCACGTCGACAACCCTGACCCAGACATGAAATGGGAATCCGATCGGCATGAGGAACCGTCCCAACATGAACGGGCAGAGCAGAGACAGGCGTGGAGCCGGTGATCATGAACGGCGCCCACTCCGTCTCTAGCTGCCAAGAGAACAATCGACTACGTCTTGCAACGTAAGAAGGTTACACCTCCATACGTCGCGCAAGTAGGGAAGTAACGTGTACAGTGATTTAATATCGTAGAATTAGAATGTATCCGTCGTTCGCAGTACATCACAGCATTGAGCTGAACGAACCTTGAGCTATCCCATCCCTTGCCAATATTGCGACATTTCGGACCGATTCGCACCCATCGCCGCGACTCCAAATGGCGCCTTTACTATGGCGCAGATTTCGCAGGTCAACCAAACCTGATGATCGTCAACTCTGGGACTATAGAAGGGGTCAACGCGTGTGACTCGAGTCAAGTTCCGAAAGAAGCAACAGACAAGGTGGTCGAGCGAGCGACCGATGTGACACCCTTACTTCAGACAAGGATAAGGGCGAGAATATTCCATCTCAGCCGCGCCAGCGGGAGTTCCTGAATGTGCAAAGTATCATCGCAGCCCGCACAGGAAATAGCGCTCGTCCCCCACGTGGGTTGCACGAGCGCCACGTTCCGGCTCGAGTCGGCGCTCAGTCTGGCGGACTTTGCACCCACCATTCAGGGCGAGAAACTTCGTCAGGAGCGGACTGCCTTGTCAGGCATAAATCGTCCTGCTATACCATGCTTGTGATATAGCGGAGCGTCACGGTATCGTAGAGACCACAAGGAGGTTTGCATACTTGAGGGGGATCCGTCATCGTTTGCACTGGATCCGGCGGACCGAGGGAGCTAAGATTAGTGTACGGTGAGCCGTTCTTCTCCACACTCTCACGAAAGCCTCGACATCCACATGCTTGAGCTCATGGTGCGTCTTCGTCTTCAAACCCACAACATGCCTGGTCTGACAAGCTTTCCTCCATTTCCAGAGGACGTGCCTACTCATCCTCTACTCGTGGTCGACTATCAACTCATAAGAGCCGGAGATGGACAGGAGACAGAGAAGCTCTGGAAAGCGGCGACGGAGCTCGGCTTTTGGTAGTACGTACTTTCGATCGAATTTTTTCGAACCTTGCCTGATGTTGTCTCTCACATAGCTTGAAGAACCATGGTGTGGACGAGGAGGTAGATGGCATGTTCGAGATGGGCCGAGAGACGATAGCTCTCCCTCTCGAGGAGAAGCTCAAGTTCGAGCAAGGTGATCAGGGGGTCTCCTTCGGGTGAGTCGTCATCAGCCACGCGCCCTCGTTCCCATGCGCACATCGTACCCATGGTCATCGCTCCACTGAATAGCTACAAAGCCGCTGGCGTTCAGTTCATGGACGAACGCGGAACACGCGATGTGACTGAGTTTGTGAACATTGCCAAGGACGATGCCCTCTCTTGGCCCACACCTGCTCGACGCACTTATCCTTCCACTGTTAACGCGCGGATGGAGTCGACAATCAAGCAATTCGTCGAGAAATCGCTCGCAATCAACAATGCACTTATCGACATCCTCAACGATAAGCTCGGGTTGCCGAAAGGAGCTCTCGCGGAGTCCCATAAGCCCGACACTTTCAGCGGGTGTACGGCGAGGGTCATCCGTGCTCCCCCTCATGTCGGTCCGGAGGAGAAGCTATTCTTGACCGCACACACGGACTTTGGATCTTTAGTGAGTCAAGGCCGACAGGGTGTGGGTCCACTATGAGCTCCCTTGATGGAAATCCTCCAGTCATTCCTTCACAACCGTCTTGGTGGCTTGCAGGTCCTCCCACCTGGCTCCGACAAATGGCTCTACGTTAAGGTAGCTTACTATTTCACCCTCCTGTTCCCCGGACTACGTCAGCATGCTCATTGCTTTCGTGTAGCCTCTGCCTGGACACGCGATCTGCAACATCGGCGACACGCTCAATATTTTCAGCGGTGGCATCCTCCGCTCCAACATCCATCGCGTCATGTGCGTCACCTTCGTGTTCACCCTGCTTCTTCTCTTCATCTCCCGTTCTTCGCTCATCTGCGGACGTCTATGTGCGCAGACCACCTCCGAAGGATCAAGCGCAGTATGAGCGCTGGTCAGTGGTCTTCTTCACTCGCCCCAACGATACAGCCATGCTCCGGCATTTGTCCGCGCAAAGCGCAGTGATTTCGGACGCGGTCGCGCGTGCCCCAGCTGGAAAGTACGAGCCAGGTGTCACGGCCGAGGAGTGGCTTATGCGGAGGATCCGCTCGCAGAGGGCCACGCAATACAAAGTTCGTTCAGCATGTGAATGGCCGATCGTACTGTTGCTGACTCTGGCGCCATTATCTAGGGCCCCGAAAGCTGGAACGATAGACGAGGAACTGAGGATACCCCCATTCCGGAACGGGGTTATATCTGAGCTCTACTGCTTCATATATACTCTAGGTGCTCTCGTCTTTATAACCTACCAAACAACCGACATTGAGACAATGTATATATGCTCTCTTGTCGCATACTCATGCAGAAGGAAACAATTCACACGAACACTATACGCTTCGGCCATCTGGGAGGCAAGGCGGGCGTGGTGGATTTAGCCAGTTGGTCCATCTTGATAGAACTCGCGGACGAGCTTCCCCGTCAACTTGAAGACATAATGCCCCTTGATCAGGTTTATTCACCCTGTACCAGGCCCACCAATGACGGGTTCATTCAATCTCATCAACGCCAGCGGAGATCACTGACATCAATCGTTACAGGTGTATCATCTTACATACTCTGCCGTTCGGCTTGTGTGACCACTTACTAGACACAACCTCATTCCATGGGAGGCTCTCGTTCGTGCCGAGATATGGTTTCCTCGTGTGTCCTAAAAAAACCAGTAGAAGCTACACGCGGAGGATTGTCTGGGTTCTATCTTTGAAGAAGGGCTTCCCGTATCAGTATCACACTTTGGGTTCTGCGTGGAGAGTCAGCTGCCAAGATGGAGAATGTAGCCATGGATTCCTAGTAGCCTTCCAGCTGTTAGAATACTGTGTGAGCCAGAATAGCGGTGCGGATAGGTATCTTTTGCTTCTCAATAATATCAAAGCTTCGGAGACTGGGCTTCAGCGAAATCAGCTAGTGAAGCTTTTGAGCAAGTGCCGCCATGCTTCTATCTCGCTATCATGTCAGGTACAGTTAGATTTGCAAAGGGAGCACATGCTGTCTGAGAGCTATAATACTAATAGGGTTCTCTGGTATCTTTGCTATCAACTCTTCCCCCTCCCCTCACCAGCGACTGTCGACCTAGCCAAGCGAACATATGTCGTCAGTTATACCGGTCTCAGCTCTCACAGCACCGTAAGTCCACTAAAGCACAAAATGGCCTAGAATCGGTATTGAGTCTGGAATGGGATACAGTGTTGCAGGCGTCGATGTATTTATTGCGCTCGCCGGTGTGTACTCGATATTTGTTGACTTGACGAAGCGGGTCCCTCACGCAAAGCCACAGCGTTACTCTACTATGATTGGATTCTCTGCTTAGGCAGTGAAATATCTCTCGTCTGGAATGGGCACAACAGGCGCACATGGGCATCTCTGGTATACGCTCTCAGTCGTTACCCCATCCTTGTTTTCTATGCCTTTGTGATAATGTCCTTCTTCCCAGTCTCGGCTCTGGTATGTTTGGTACGCAACTCTCCCACATAGTACCTGACCTCATTCACCCTTCCGCCAGAGGTACCAAGTGATTCTACCTGTGTCTGATTATCATCTAATGCTGATCCTCAATGCAATATCAAAGCTGTGATGTCAATCACTGGTGCCAAAATGTGACCTATATTCTCAGCCTTCTTGCGAGTTGCAGTAAGACCCCTGTCTGCGTCAAGGGTCCGTCTCTGTCAATTCTGACTGCCCTGCAGTGTTCAATACCATCCGAGTGTATGCGCTGTCCAGAATGAACGTCATGCTAGCGATGGGTACCTGTGCACTCTCCATTATACCCACCATTGCAAACTTAGTACGTCTCTCAATGCATTTCCGGGCAGTCTTAGACTTATAATATACTGTCTAGGTTCAGAACATCAAGTGGATCAAAGCTATAAACCTCCCTCCGCCATTCAACTGTGTTGCCAATGATACCACGCCGCCGGGAATCACGATCATGTGTGTGCATTCCATCGATTTTTATCATGTCATTGTATTCACGCTGCAGTCTGAAGACGTATGATTTCCTCTATGTTGTGATATATCATAATAATCAACTGTGTTCAGGTCCGATCTTGGTCCGAGGAAGCTTCATACTTGCCGACTCTATTGTTCTCGCCGTGACATGGCACTACACACACAAGCCCTACAGGGCTCAACGTAGCCTCCATGTCAGTCCCTCAAAGTCATTCACTTCTGTCATGTTGTACAACGGTAGGGGCTTCTCTTTTCAATACATCTATCTATCTCGCTTAAGAGCACACTACTCAGGCAGTCTCTACTTCATGTATGATATGTTTCGATCAAGTGCAATCCCCTCATGCTGTACGCTTATACTCACCTGTCTTCAGCGTCCTGGCAGCGCTGAATACTCTGGACCTGATTCTCTCAGTCCTTGATGTAGGTCCCAGCTACCATCCATGACGAGAATCGTCTGGGGCTGACGTCTGGTATCAGCTTATCCAGAATGGCATTGGCGGAAATCAAAGCCTAGCCGGAAATGTTGCAGACGTGTAAGTCCGACTCGTTAGCGACTCGTGAGGCAGAAGTCACATGTTTAGATCTGACATATCTACTGTCTGATACGTGGAAACAGAATATCGCCCATTCTATTTTCTCGCTTCATCCTGAACCTCCATCAAGTGAACCGCGAAGTCGCTCATGAGCAGGATGATACCTTGTCAGCTGATATCCAGTTCGCCATACAGAGTTGGTCTAGCCACTCGCTTCCCCCTTCACTCGCGTCATTCGCCCAACCTGTGCATGTTGGATCTGAGGGGGAAGACAAGGACGAGGACACGAAGGAGATTCCTGAGTCTAATTTCAGCGTTGTCGAAGGTACTGATGTTGTACCATGCGTGGAGACTGGGGGGGCTGGCGCCGCGTTCCACGACTTCCAGGGTTAAGGGACAAGTGAGTCAATTGCTTCAAACTAAATAGGCGAAGAAGCTGATATTCATCAACTTCTGTGGTACAGAACCTCACGAGCGAAACGGGTGTTGTTCAAGTGTACATCTAGCCAGAGCGTTCGTACAATCTCATAAAGTGGACAGGGGCGGAATAGAGTCATAAGACCGGCACAGATAGATACGCGTGACACGGACCTTCCTGCTTCCGGAAAGATGAGACTACTCCGTGATCTGTTCATAGACGTGGACAGCCGCAGGTCGCCTGATCATCAAGCAAAATTGCGAAGCGCTGGACGAGCAAGCAATCAACAATACGAGTGGGAATTGGTCTGCTTACCTTGCAAACCTCGCCGATAACGGACTGCTGTGCGTACCTAAGGGAATGACTGACATTATCTTTATTCAGTAGTACTTGATGTGCGCCCACATACGGCCTCTCGGACATCAGCCATTATTTGCCAAATTTGTCCGGTCCCTTCAGACCGATGTTCACTCGGTTAGGTGACCCCCTAGACAATCTGACAAACCGCCCGTCATGGTGGAGACATCTGTCTCGAGAGCCATCCAAGCTCAAGTACTCATATATATTCGTTGACGTCGCTGAAGTTTGATGCTAGGAGATACAAAAGATTCAGCTACATAGCACATAGTATAGTAAAGTGACAAAATTGAGCACTCATTCAAGACTCGGCTGTCGGCTCTTCAGCCTTGTTCACCGAGCTTGTGTATTTGAACAGAGTCAGATGAGGAGGCACGCACGGGGTCGGAAGTAGACAGGATTCTCGCACCCACCATGTATGACATTGAGTCAGCTCATATTCGGAGGGATAGAGAGTATGAAATGCGATAGATGCTAAAGCAAAGCACGACCAGTAAACTCGTCATTTTCGCTGGTTTGCAGAGTCGTTACAGGACATACCGGCAGCTAAGGCACAGGCTGGTCGACTTGGAGACGCGCATATCCTATGATTGTCGATGAGTAGTACGGAGGGCTGTGAATTCAAAAGTGTTGCACTCGTGCGAACACGTCCTGGCCGAAGGTATACCTTCAGCCAGCGTTGGGGTCACTGGTAAGACGACGGACAGTCGCCGAAAGAGCAAAGGTACCTCGGCACTCGCCGAGGACTTTCCCAGGCACTTCCGCCACCGCCATGCGCAGTGCGTCTGACGCAACTGGTCGAGTCCTTCCTTGGACATCTTGTGACTCTCGAAAACATACGTTCTGTCGCCTCTTCTGCGGGCTGCCTCGGCTGCCACAATAAGCTTTCCTGCTCTAGCAACTTCAACCAACACAGCTATGTGTGTCCGAGATGATGGGCTAGTATCGTATATTGGGCGCGCACGGCGAATGGGAAGTCGAAGGCCTTGCCGCTCTGTGAGTTGCGTCATGAGACCTCAGAAGCTGAGATAAGTGCACTGGTCGGAGCACCGAGTGCATCCGGACTGACTGCATAAGTATATGAGACACGGTGCGTCCCAGGGCTAGCCTTGTGCCTATAACATGCCTGGACTAACAACCTATCCGCCCTTCCCAGACGACATCCCTACGTGTCCCCTATTGATTGTTGATTATGAGCTGGTCAAGGCCGGAGATGAGGAAGAGATCAACAAACTGTGGAAGGCTGCGACGGAGCTGGGCTTCTGGTAGTGCGTATACCGTCTTTCCACCTTGCCAGCGACCTCGGGCCTCAAGCGTCGTGGTCCGTTAGCTTAACGAACCACGGCGTGGATGAGGTAGACGACATGTTTGAGATGGGTCGTGAGACCATGGCCCTTCCGCTAGAGGAGAAAAACAAGTTCGAGCAAGGAGAGCACGGCGGTTCCTTTGGGTGAGTGCTTGCTCCCAATCTGCTGTGCTTCTTCATACCCAAGCGTCTCGCTACATCTCAGCTACAAGGGTGCAGGTGTTCAAATCATGGACGACCACGGCACGCGCGACGTCACTGAGTTCATAAACGTCGCCAAGGACGACGCGCTCGCCTGGCCCGCCATCGCGCACCGCACCTATCCCGCGACCGTGAACGCGCGCATGGACTCCACCATCAAGCCTTTCGTCCAGAAGTCTATGGAGATCAACCACTTCCTCATTGATGTTCTAAACGACAAGCTCGGCTTGCCCAAGGGAACGCTCGCGGAGTTTCACAAGGCCCACGAGCACAGCGGGTGCATCGCGCGGGTCATCCGTGCTCCTCCGCACCCTGTACCAGAGGAGAAACTGTTCCTGACAGCGCACACGGACTATGGATCACTGGTGAGATGGCGTCCGCAAATGGTCTGACACCATACTCTCATACCGCACGTTTAGTCGTTCCTCCACAACCGTCTCGGCGGTTTGCAAGTCCTCCCGCCGGGTTCCGATAAATGGCTCTACGTTAAGGTGAGCGAAGCCCTCTCGGCGCAATTCTCGCGTATTGACAAGCCCTGCTAAGCCGCTTCCCGGCCATGGGATCTGCAATGTCGGTGACGCGCTCAACATCTTCAGTGGCGGCATTATCCGCTCGAACATCCACCGCGTTATGTCAGCCAATCCTTCTATCCTTTATGCTGTAAGCTGCACTCCTCTCACACCACTCTCATAGCCCTCCTCCGAAGGACCAAGCGCAGTACGAACGCTGGTCCCTCGTGTACTTCACACGCCCGAACGACACTGTTCACCTCCGACACCAGGGTGTGAAGAGCGCAATGATAGCTGAGGCTATCGCGAAGGCGCCCGCAGGGAGGTACGAGCCAGGAATGACGGCGGCCGAATGGCTCACCAGGCGAATTCGGTCGCAGCGTGGTGCTTATTACAATGTACGTGTTCACAAGATGGGGAGTGGCGTAATGACTGACGTCTATGTGTAGGACCCGGAGAGCAAGAAGGATAGGCGTGGCACCGAGGATACAGCTATTCCCGGAGTTGGGTATGCTTGAGATTTCCCCCATAACAGCATAGGTTCTGCTACTGGTAGCCGTCCTACGAAGGATCACATTGTATGATATCCATCGAGTCAGGAGGACTCTGATGCAACCTACTGGCATGTACTAAGTATGGATATCAGGCTTAGGTGCTTCGTAATGCCCAATCCTCGAGAGTGGTGATGAGTGAGTCTTATCGCTCGTCACCTGGGATAGCGTGCCTAACATATCCCAGCCTCGGAGAGTCGAGTTTTGCTTCCTAGACTTCCACGCTTCCCCGACATGATTCTTCTTCGTGATCGAAACCTCCCAGAGGAAGCTCGGCACGGCGGCCTGACGTCTATGAATATTGGACGGTGCTCCGTGGCTCCGCAGAGCGGGTCTCGTCTACATAGTGACGCCATTCCCTTTGTTACCTGAGGCGCCCTTGCAAGATGCCCGGCTTGACCACATTCCCCCCGTTCCCTGAAAATATACCTACCCATCCTCTCATTGTCGTTGACTACCACTTGATTAAGGCTGGCAAGGACGGGGAGATAAGCAAGCTATGGAAAGCAGCCACAGAGCTGGGGTTCTGGTAGTAAGTGTCGCATAGGTGACCCACATATCTCCATATCACTTATCACCTACCTGCAGCCTAAAGAACCATGGCATGGATGAGGATGTCGAGGCTATGTTTGACATGGGTCGCGAAGCCATGGTCCTGCCTCTCGACGAGAAGATGAAGTACGAGCTTGGAGACGAGGGCGGTTCCTTCGGGTAAGTACTCGTGCCTCCATCTCATGCATCATCATTTTTGCTGATGAGCACACTTCCACCACCTCGCAGTTACAAGGCTGCCGGTGTTCAGGCAATCGACGAGCGCGGTACACGTGACACGGCGGAGTTTTGGAATGTCTCCAAAGACGATGCTCTCGCCTGGCCAAGAGTCATCCATCGTGTGTATCCGTCGCCTGTGCAAGCGCGGATGACATCCACTATCCGACCGTTCGTCGAGAAGTCGCTCGAGATCAACGTTGCGCTCCTGGATGTGTTCACTCAGAAGCTTGGTCTTCCTCGAGGCGCGCTTGCCGATCTGCACAGGACGGAGGAAGAGAGCGGATGCCTTGCGAGGTGCATTCGCGCACCTCCACGTGCAGGCCCACAGGAGAAATTGTTCATACCGGCACATACCGATTACGGATCATTGGTGCGGCTTGAATTTACCGACATACCGCAATCGACTGACCATATCGGGGCGCAGACTATCCTTCACAACCGCACCGGCGGCCTACAAGTCCTGCCTCCGAGTGCCACTGAATGGTACTACGTGAAGGTGCCTGATTTTCCTGGCTTACGCGAGGCTCTCACATGTTCACGATTCCTGACACACATACCTCGCGCTAGCCTATCCCCGGTCTCGCAATCTGCAACATTGGGGACGCGCTCAACATCTTCAGTGGAGGCATCCTCCGATCCAACATCCATCGTGTGGTGTGAGCACCGCTTCTATTACTGCGCCCTAAGTGGTACCGGCGCAATGCTATCTCCGGCTCCCTCCTTTCTCCGCATGGATTCCCATGCTAACTTGGGCCACGTATCTTCTAGCCCCCCTCCCGGAGAACAGGCGGCGCTCGAACGATGGTCAGTTGGGTTTTTCACGCGGCCGAGTGACACCGCCATTCTCCGCGCCCTGTCGGAGGACAGTGCGCTTGTTGCCCATGCGGCCGCGCGAGCGCCGGTGGGCAGGTTCGAGACGGGGACGAATGCGAAGGATTGGATCGCTCGTCGGGTAGGAGGACTGAGGTACAATAACTACAAGGTGCGTTCCTCGCCGGTTTGTATGTGCCTGTGTTGGAGTCACAGGACTAGCGACTAATTGGCGTTTTGACAGGACGCAGAGGGGTGGAAAGGCTGGAAGGGGACAGAAGACACAGAGATTCCGGAGAGTGTGGAATCGTAGATGGTCGACCTTCTGTTGGCCTCCCGTTGCAGTGCTTACTAGGCCGTTCACCAACTCAGGACGTTGAAGCTCATTGATACCTAGCAACGCTCCACGGCGACATAGTCTGACTACATAGCGGCGATGTAAGAATCCGCCCGATTTGCATGACTAAGCCTGTACCAATGCCGTCACCCGCGCTACGGAAGATCGCTTTTAGCCCTTGAGGGCATGCGTTTCAATTCTTGCGCTGTTATGATCGGACGACACGGCCTCACGGTCGTATGCGGGTTCTAAACGGCACAGGAATAGACCTAGCGCCAGTGTCATCGGAATCAAGCTCAGAATAACGCCCTTCGCGTCCTCCCGGGGTTTCATTCACCGAGTCGATGAAGGGGTACAATGTCGGTTAGCAAGCGTTCCTTGCGTCCGCTAGCACAGCAGTCCATGTTGATAAAGTTCTAACAGGTATTTTGATATGAAATTGCAACGGTCCGCATACAGTGTTATTTCTGTCAAAGTACCCAATCAAGTCAAAGCAGCATATCCGTATATCCGCAGTGTCCTCGGGCATGAAGTGCGGTGCAGAGGTCGGCAGCCCAACGTTCGAGACCCCACGCGGTTTGCATAAAAGGGGTATTGCCATATGCTTATCTATCACTCACAATCCACATCACACCTCTTTCTCTCTCAAACATGCCTGGACTTCTCAATTTTCCAACGTTTCCTGAGGGTGTGCCGACACATCCCCTCCTGATCATTGACTATGCTTTACTTGAGGCCGGTGATGAGGGTGAGATTGACCGGCTCTGGCAGGCCGCCACAGAGCTCGGCTTTTGGTAGTATGTCACCATCCTATCTCGTCTCATATGCTGCGTGCTCATTGGCGGTCACAGCCTGAAGAACCATGGCCTTGATGCGGAAGTCAATGCCATGTTCGATCTTGGCGCACAGACATTTGCGCTACCTTCCGAGGACAAAGTACCGTACAGCTATCAGGAGGATGGGAGTTCGTTCGGGTAAGTGCATCCTATATTCCTTCCATGTACGCGTGCTGAAAAGGATCCTGGCTCAGCTACAAAGCCATGGGCTCGTGTGTAATTGACGAGAAAGGAACAAGGGACACGACTGAAGCTATGGATGTCTCCCAGGACGACGTCCTGGCTTACCCTATCAAGGTCCACCAAGCCTATCCGGTCACTATCGGTGCTGGTATAGACTCGACCGTCAGGCCGTTCGTTGTCAAGTCGATGGACATCAACTTGCACATTCTGAGCATCATGGACGGAAAACTAGGGCTACTTAAAGGGACACTCGCGAGCCTCTGCAAACCCGAGGATCAGAGCGGCAGCACGCTGCGGTTGATCCGGAACCCTCCCGCCATTACTCCCTCTGCGCAGACGTTCGTGGGGGCACATACGGACTTTGGTGCCCTTGTAAGCTCGTATACTTGTTCTCATATTCCGAGTCCTCACCCAAACATCGCAGACTATCTTGCACAATCGCCTCGGTGGCTTGCAAGTTCTCGTCCCCGGACAGGAAGATTGGCAGTTTGTGAAGGTATGTCTCAGGACCTGTCCGGAAGGACCGGGTGAAGCAAGGACCAACGGTTTCCGTTGCAGCCGCTAGAAGGCCATGCTATCTGCAACGTCGGGGATGCCTTGAATATTTTCAGCGGTGGTATCATGCGCTCGAATATTCATCGCGTGGTGTGAGTCGTTTCGAGATCTTCAGCTGCTCAGAAATCTCATCTACGTGTAGCCCACCTCCGAAGGAACAGGCGAAGCTCGAGCGTTGGTCCCTTGTGTTCTTCACGAGACCGAGCTACAACACACCCATGAAAGCCTTGACCGAACATAGTGCTATCGTGGCAGAGGCGGTCGTGAAGGCACCTGCAGGCAAGTTCGATAGCGGAGTGACTGCCGGAGAATGGCTTGCTCGCCGTATCCGGGGCACAAGAGCAGCCCAGTACAAAGTTAGTTCGCAAAGCCGTCCCCGTTGACGTCATGAGCTGATGGCACGTTTGATAGGATTCGGAGACTTTTAAAGCAGATTTCAGGGGGACGGAGGACATTGCATTGTAAGATGCCAACTCGTTGTAATAATTTCGCTCCTGCTATACTGTACGCGGGCATCTAATTGTAGTGGAACTCATGAGGTCCTTGACTAGCAACTGAAGACAGCCGGTCCTATAAGAATTGTGTTGTTCAGATGTTACGTTGCTGAGAGATCAACAAAGAAAGCTAACCAGGGATGGTGTAGTTGGTGAGTGGCGGGTAGTAGATGTCGACCTTGATGCCTACGATCGCGCATACAATAGTCAGTGCACTCATACAAAGTCACACGAAGACTGAGAACACACCCGGGTCAGTGCCATGATACGCCCCAGGGAACGACACTGTCGCAGGTGACTTGGCTCCGGAGCCCCCCACGATGTTCAGCTGTGCGCACTCCATGTAGAACTGAGCTCCGGGGTAGCTCGACGCAGCATGTAGCGCTGGGTAGAAGCGCACAACGTCAGCGATGTCGGCAAATGATACCCGAGATGGTTGGGGAAAAGCTTGGAAACGACAAACGTACCGATGATCTCGTGCCGCAGGAGGTACTGCCCGCTCGCGATGCAGCTCGGGATCTGGAATGACACCTTGCCCTTGTTCGCGACAAGCCGATCGACGGCCCACGTCCCGTCCGACACTGTCAGACCATCCTCATAGATCTTGAACCACTGCAGACCCGTTACGGTGCTCTGGGTCGCGTCGGGGATCTTGGCACTGTGGCACACGCCAGTGCATCAGGTGTGAAGGCAGATAGGCGGGGATGACAAGGAAGGTACGTACAGGTAGGAGAGGATGGGACCCTTGTGTCCGGGATCGATGGGGTCGGCAGGGTCATTAGCGGTCTGGTTGAGGGTATGGTGCCACTGGCCAGGTCATCCACGTCAGCGCGATAGGCTATAGATCAGGTTCAAACATGCAATCACACCTCGGCTGTAACTGTCGCGCCGGCGGGAACGCTGATGACGGCGTTGGAGACAGGCTGGTGGTACGGGTTGATGCCGCCGTTGCAGATGATATCGTTCGACGTCACGTCCGTGATCGGCTGCACATAAGTGCGGTTAGAGTTGAGCATTGAGGTGACTAGCACGAAGCGCGGAAGGACTTAGGAAGTACGTACCCCATCGTAGTCAGGAGCGCGGATCCCCGTCAGCTCACCCTGGTCGACGCCGTTGACGTACAGCTTCTGAAATATAGTATGCGCCGAGGCACACCCGGTGAAGACGAGCCCGGCAGCAAGGACGGAGAGCTTCGTCATAGCAGCAATGACAGAAAGTGACGAGGGACCACATCGACGCTCCCTGGCATTTATACTTCGCGTTCATCTAACATGAAAGGACGTGGTGACGACCGTCTTCTGCTACACAAGATATTGAGATAGAGCACGCGAGAGTGTGAGTAGGGATTTCACCATAAATCAGCCGCGCACTGGAGCCGATGCGTTCTTCGCTGGTGCTCATTACATGACGGACGTCATGAGGCTTTTAAGACTCCTTGGATTCACCGCGGTCAATGGGGGCTACAAGGGAGGCTTAGAATTTCTCACAAATCTAATATACGTGCGAGCGACAGAATCATGTAGCCTCCGAAGTATTTCCTCTGCGAAGTCTTCGTTTGACATCTTGGTGTGACATTGTACGACTGGCAATGTCTCCTCGCAGCGTTGGGCCTCCGGTCAGTACCCGGAACTGGAACAGAGACGACGGCCGGTGACACACCGTAGCGCCTTTGTATCGTTGGATTAGGGGTGCTCAATTCTTGTCGGTCGCTCAGTTGCTCGCGCGCCTATTGGGCGCCTGCCTAGTTGCATTCAAGGTCAGCTCAAGCGTCTGCAGCACAGCGAGCAGAGACACGCAGGCAGCGGGCGCAGAGAGATCGACAAGATCGTCTCATGCTGGGTTTGTTAGGCCCGGGAAACCAGCCCAGCAAGTAAATGGTGACGTCGGGAGAGCTTATAAACTCGTTGACCTGGTCTTATTGTACACAATGCGCCCAAGTCGGAAACAGAATCAGCATGACATATATATATATGGTTCAGCTGAGGGTGCCGCTCTGGGCTCGATGGCAACTGGACTCAAACCTTGTAAGGCGACTCTATATCTCGAGACAAGCAACTTTATAGCTTCTGAATTGTCAAATCCTCGCGTCGCTCTCTAGTCCCAGCTCGGGGGCATCATGCGGTCATGTTGCACCTGCTGCCTGCGTATCTCTGCTCGCTGTGCTGCAGGCGCTTGAGCTGACCTTGAATGCAACTAGGCAGGCGCCCAATAGGCGCGCGAGCAACTGAGCGACCGACAAGAATTGAGCACCCCTATTGGCTGATAGTCTTGGCAGCACTGCTATGCCACGAACGCGCCATGCCACCCGAGGATCAGGCTGGAATTGGTCCGACGGAGTCAAAAACAAGACCTCGTTAGGTGCAATTATGACGTTATGACATCCGTTGGAACCTCGTGGATCAGGGTTCGTCTGATGTCTCGCTTGGGTCCTCAACGCTTCACCGGTCGCCAGTAACCTGCAGCTGCATGACGTGTGCAAAGTGGTCACTCATCAAGGTGGTGGATACCTAAAACGACTCTGCACAATAGGACTTGCCCATCACACTCATGATACCGATTCCACAACTGATCTCTGCACCTTCGCCACAGTGCTAGGTTGGCTTATTTCCACGTCGCACGACTCACTTTCGTTCGACAACAAGCGCCGTCCTAACGGGCTATGTCATGGCCACGCATATACGTTGTCTCTTGAGCATCCTAGATACATAGCAAAAGCGGGTAGGAGCGGAGAGTACAGAGAAGCTCAAGTTGTATGTGCGAGGAGAATCTGTGCTCTACGATATATGTGGACCAAGACAAGCTGCCGTCGCACTAACCGCCCATTACAACAAGCTTCCACGGGCGCATTCGGCGGTCCAGTCGGTAATCTCGGGCCGTGGCAACCGAGTTGCGCCTTGACGCTAAGTTTAGGGAGTGTTGGAAAAAGACCTAACAAGAGCATGCAAGAATATACATGAAAGAAGGAAAAAAAAATAGCGGATTCTGCCGTCAAGTTGTCGCAATGAGCAATACAGGTCATGAGTCATTGCAGTCGTCGATACACTCCGTCTTCCTTGACGATTGCAAACCCTCAGCAGGTGAACACAGCGGGGCCTATGGCCAATATGATCGAGATAAGTGCCATCTCACACAATCCAAATGCAGATAAATCTTACCAGGGATAGTGTAGTTAGTCAACGGCGGGTAGTAGATGTTGACCGTGATTCCTAGGATCACACGCGCAATACTAAGCGATCTGGACTGTATACCACGCACAGTGCTCCCGCTTACCCGGATCGCTGCCCTTGTACGCGCCAGGGAAGGAGACAGTGGCAGGTGACTTCGCCCCAGAGCCGCCAACGATGTTCAGCTGCGCACACTCCATGTAGAACTGAGCCCCGGGGTAGCTCGACGCGCCGTGCAAGGCTTTATCGAACTCTCGTCAGGATCCCGCATCACCAAAACAGCCAGTGAAAGACGGAGAACGCACCGATGATCTCGTGCCGAAGAAGGTACTGCCCGCTCTCGATGCAGCTCGGGATCGTGAAAGACACCTTGCCCTTGTTCGCGATCAGCCTGTCCACGGCCCACTGCCCCGTCGACGCTGTCAGGCCGTCCTCGTAGATCTTGAACCATTGGAGGCCGGTAACCGTGCTTTGGGTCGCGTCCGGTACCTTCGCTCTGTATCGCGCCCAGTGTCAGCCTTGCGAACATTTTTGGAAAAGGAAAGATGATGGAGACGCACAGGTAGGAAATCACAGGGCCTTTGTGGGAGGAGTCAATCGGGTCTGCAGAGTCGCCCGCGGTTTGATTGAGGACGTGGTGCCACTTACCAGACAATGCGTGTCAGCAAGCGCAAGACCACAGAGAACGGTTGAAACATACCTCAGCAGTGACGGTCGCGCCTGCAGGGACGTTGATCACGGCTTGAGAAACTGGCTGGTGGTAAGGGTTGACGCCGCCATTGCAGATGATGTCGTTTGAGGTCACGTCAGTGATGGGCTATAGCGGTTACCGCAATGAGTATCATGGTGCGACAGTAAGCTCCGAGTGTATGCGTACCCCATCGTAATCGGGGGCACGGATACCCGTCAGTTCGCCCTGGTCCGCGCCGTTGACGTAGAGTTTCTGGAAGATAGTGTGTGCTGAGGCGGTCCCAGCGAAGAGTGCCGCGGTAACGATTATAAGCAACTTCGACATAGCGTACTAGTGCCAGACGAGAGCCGAGAGCCGAGGAACAACAATGTTCGATGGACGTCAACGCCGTACTGTCTGTCTATATACTTGTTGCACCCCTTCGAGTTCCTGATCATGTCATCGATTTACCCCGTCGGTCACAGCACCTGCACGGAAACATACATCGCACATGAGCTCAAGTCAAGTATACAGTAGGATGTGTTCTACCAGTGTTTCGCCGCATGCCAAGCCAATCAGCGCCTGTATGCTCGCAAAAAGAACGCGCGTGATATGAAGCGGGAAAATAGCGTTATTGCATAGGCTCTGATTGACGACAATGATGAAAAAGAAGCGTGAGCAGGGCTCCTCCGCATGATGCACTGGAAGATTTGTTGACTAACCGAGGTTCCGAAGTATTGCCTCCGCGAAGTCATACTCGACAAGCCACTCCGCGACGGGGTAGATAGTATAGCTCACGTGTGTAGCTGCCTTGCATGGTGCACACAGCCAACACGGATAGAGCTGCATGAGTGCTCCGGATCAGAGTCGGGCCAACTCTAGCCAGAAATTCGGATGCACTCTATCTCTATCCGTCTACTTACCGGTAGTCGGAAGCGATTCAAGTTGTTCGTATCCTCCTGGTGGTATGCAATGTCATGTCATGCTGGGAGACAGAAGGCAGACTTACTTGTCTGCCATGATCCTCCATGTCACCCTCTTCTCGTATCATATACGTTTCGATTTCTATTGATCACAAGAGCAGACTTGCCTTCGCATCAGATCATGCGACAAAATCCCACATCGGATGTCCAATGAGGAACAACAACCCAATGGTTGGTCACTGCAAGAACCCCGTACAGATACATGAGAGTCACTGCTGACCGATGATCCTGCGCCTGAAGTCTTGAGGTGATGTGTTAGAATGCCCCATAGGATATCGGGGCCTGTGCGATTCATATTTGCTCGCCGCTCACCCCGGATTGCCGCAAAGGACAGTGACGATGTTACCATGTACATCGCCTGATCTATGAAAGGTATTGAGTTAGACCTGCCGAAGGGCTGCGTTGGTGGATGTAAATCAGTCAATCTTTATCTGCTGAAGAGGATTGATTGCCCACGTACCTCATTCAAGTAAATGTGCCCATCGTAGACGACAATGCCGTGACCAAGCACTGTATGTACCATGGCCTTACTCGGTCCACCCCAACAGATTAGCCAGTATCAGTAGCTAAGCTCGCAGTCTTACCTGTAATTGAATACAACCGAAGCCACCATCCCATTTCAACGCCCTGCATGCACAGAGGCGTCGACGGACTAGGCACTGTCAATTTCAACAGGAGCCCAAGTTGGTTAGTCCTGTATAGCAGCCATAGCAGCCAACCTTGTACAGGGGTATTCTTAGACACTGCACATACAGTACATGACCTAGACTCCGCACTGCGTGATTAGCGATCCGAGGGAGATAAAGCGGGCGCAACATACCTCTCCGGGGAGCCCACCGCCTTCTCAGTCCATCAAATACGACGAATCCACGACGTCATACGCACGCACGGCCAGGCTAGTCGACTGTGCAGGTCACATTTAGTTGACGGTCGCCATGCGCCCACGGCCGCCTCTCGCACAAGATCCCTTCAAGACGCATCACCGACTCACGCCCGAGAAAGCTAAGCCAGACTTAGAACGACATTGAGCGATGCAGGGAAGACAGCGCCAGAAACGCCATTTCATCCGGTCCATAAGATGCCGCTTCGCAGCATATGACGCAGACGTTCAGAACCGTCGCTCTGTGGCCCAAGGGATCCCACGTAGGCCCGTCCACGCACATGCAAGCTTCCAGGAGCCTTCGCGACCAAATATTATTCCGTGAGCTTTCGAAGGCGGCAGGGCGATTCCGCGGACCAGACAGCTGACGGAGCGCGAGTGGCCGGGATGGTGCATATGGTGGTCGAGCGACAAGGATGGAACGGGCGCCACGGAGGCGCCACGCTCGCCCGCCTTCGGCTTCCGGGACGATCCTCCGCGCCAGTCTAAGGGACGGGTCTGCTCACGACCTTCTGACCAGAGGCAATGTTCGTGCAAGGGGTGTGTGACATAATGCAGTATCCCGATACAAGTACATGATGAGTACAGACGGTCTCTATGGAGTCCATCGAAGGAGCACAAAATAATAACAATAGCGCTACAAGCAAATGCGTATTAGGGTACTTCCATGCGATGGTGTTACATCCGCTCTGGCGGGTGGGGGCTATTCGGCCTCGGTGCGGGGCGCCAATGCGTTCGCGATTGATTAGGTATAGTCGGGGCGCGGGTATGTTTCAGTACTTCCCGGCGGCCAGGTGCCGCATGATCGTCAGAGTGGCAAGGATCTCTGAAGGAGGTCGCGCGGTTCACGTCAGCACAATTGCACCCGATTGTAGACGAGCAGCTCGGGCTCACCAATCGAAAGGTGCGTAAACGGCTCGTAGATGGTCAAGACGTTGCCCGAGGTGTTGTAAGCGGGTTTTTCAGGGGGTTTCAGGTGGTAGTGCGCGACGACATAATCGCGCGAGTCAACGCACTGGAGCGCGGGAGCACGTCACGTCAGCTCGAGACTTCCCACTTCGAGATCCGCGTCTCCCACTCACCGACCACTCGTAATCCTTGACCGCGCGGTGGATCCACCGGTACTCTTCCCCGTTCATTGCTGTGAACTTGCGTGATAGCGAACTATTTAGTGTGCAAGTACTCGTCAGCGCTTCCTGTCGGGCGCAAGGCGTCCGCCGTCCGAGGTCGCGGAGCGTGACGCAAGGTACGGACACTCACCCAGCGAACATAGACGTCTTCCTCAGGTACTGCCCTATGGGCATGGACACGCCCGACTCGGCGAACCAGATAGTCCCAAGCGTGCCATTGAGGCCGAAGTCTAGGATAGCAGACGGCTCGCGCGAGGGGGGACGCGACAAGCGATGGCTGGACGACCGACGGCCCGTGTTGTAGATCATGAGCGTCGTCTCTGAAGAGTGGGGGACTTGTGAGGGACTAGGTCGTGCAATGCGCAGGAAGAGGCGGTCGTAGATCTCGTCGAAATCTGTGCCCATGTAATGGCCAGTGCGGTCCTCGAGGCAGTAGGGGAGCGTCCTGTTGATCATGGCGGGCGAGCAGACGAAGACGAGCGAACGCGCGTTTTGTAGGAAGGTGGCAGATTGGGAAGTGAGCTGAGGCCGGAGGGAGAGGGGAAGGGGATTGTGCGGAGAGGAAGAAGGAAGCGTAAGCGGTTATATACAGCTGCGGCAGCGAGGGAAGGGCATGTCACGCTGGATGTGTTGTGTGGCGCGAGTGAAGAGGCTGTCAGACGCTTGATGCGGGTGCGGGACGAGGGACAGAAACGAGGACCGTTCGAGCAGGCGACTGCGCACGCAGGTGTGTGCAGATCGTGGAGGCGCCCCCCGTCCCCGCCTCTTCTCGCCTCTCACATCACACCTCCGCGGCTTCTGAGGCAGGCACTGCGTGCCGAGCCCTTGGCCAGGGCACCCCTCCGCCCCCAAGGGGCTGAGAGTTGTAACGGTTTCGCAGGACGTCTCGCGAGGTGTACTGAATAGACGAGAAAAGAAGCGCAGAGGGGGGCTTCTTCGCGCATCTGGACTAGTGCAGAACAGGAACAGCGTACACGGCCGTGTCTCATGCTCAATATGGTCCCTCCGGCCTTCCTGGCAGCCGAGACTCCCGGACGCGTCGGGGGCGGCGCGCTTTCGCAGGTACCTTTGGCGGCCTATGACCAAATGCCGATACTCTTGACGCGCCACCACCTAACGGAGAAAGGCCAGATTCATCAGATCGCACTAACCCCAACAGCCAGGTGAGATGAACGGGTGTCGCTCCGGGGACGTCTCGACACTACAATGTATCACCCCCAATGCCACCATCACTAACCAGACGTTCATCACTCCACGTCACAGAAGCTATCTGAAGAGATGGAAAAGGGCACTCACTATGCCACGTGCGGAGAAACCAAAGCCTTTATGTACCGTGTCAACACCAACCGGAGGTTCCGGTTCGAATCTGGCGTCATGCTGAACGCCTTGGCGATATCCAAGGAAAGAGGGTCGCGAGCCCAGACAAGGCGTGGACACGGCACGACACATCTCGGCGTGCAAGGCGCGACGCCCGTGACAGAAAGTGGCACAAGTTGTCGGCTCGTCTGCTCTGCAGCTTCTGTGCTTCGAACCTGGGGTAATAACGTACTTGCGTTCATATCGGCTCCTGTCCCGGTCTCCGCGTTGCAGTGTCAGAACTCTAATAGAGCTTAGGGAAGCGACGGAGGCACTCACCGCCGTCCATTCGAATGATGACGCCACAAACTGTGCGTGTCACTAAGACGATCGTCAGAATCTAGCTGGTAGGGGCATTCCCAATCAGTCCTGCGGGAGAAGGCGCAGACGAGTATAAGAAGCGTTGATTCCAGACAGCTGACCCAGTGGAGGCCCTGAGCAGTGACTGGAAGATGTCAACTTAGAGGAGAATCGGCGCGTGAGATCAGCGTTCTCACATTGACGCACCTGACTCGGACATAGGGCGCCCTTCGATTGCTGCCGAACAGCTGCACTGTATGGCTGCGGATGCACTGGGGAGCTGTTGGGATTGTAGGAGCTTCAGCGTAATCATTAGCTTCTAGCGATTCAGCGAAATAACGCGGCAACAATAGCCGAGGAACTGCGAAGAGTTGGGCAGAACCTCCGGAAAGTATCGTTCCATCCTCCGGTCGCTTCGAATGCGACCGCCTGTTCATGTTCTTGGACTTGGGCGGCACATCGTGCTAAGGCTGCGAAGCCGCACGTGGCATACTCATGTCATCACTCCGTTGTGACGATATGAACGTCTTTACGGCTCCCATTCCTCGCGTCGGACTCTAATACAAGAAACACACAGCAGCGGGCCACGGCATAGGCCCCCCGATATTTTGATACATCACAAGCAGGAAGGGTGCACCTGACACGGACAATACGTCAGCAACTCGTGGTGGCGGGAAAAGAGGCGACCTAATTACCGCCAACAGGTACCGCGCCGTGCCTCCGAATAGCTATGCCTCGCCACCCTGGTGCTGTCGGATGATACTAGAGCTGGTCTTCGAATCCAAGAAAAGCTCGCCCATCTCATCGATATCTTCAAGCTGAATCTCTTTCCGCCCAGCGATCGAGGCAAGAATGGATGCAGGCGTGAGCAATTGGAGAGCATACCTGCAGCATTCGGTCAGTAACGGAAGCAGGTCCGAATGAGGCGGTCCCGTGTCGCATAGTACGTACCGTAGTGAGCTGTCAGCACCCCTGGTAGCCAGTCGATCAAGAACTCCATCACCGAGCTTGAGCCCTTCAATGTTCGCACGTAATTGCAGGACCTTCGAGATCGCCTCTTTGTTGTACGGCTCCGTTCTCACGATCAGGCACCTGGGCGCGTTGAACATGTGAGTCGATGGGTGCAGATAACTCAAGTCGCCGAGTATACGTACCGGTCAAGCATGTCTAGTGGAATGCCGTGCGGTGAGTAGATGTCCGTCGTTCCCCTAACTAGGGCCTTTCCACGGTTGGTAGCAAAGATGACCGTCGGTGCCATCTGGGACTCCAGCAGCGAGTTCAGGTAGGTGAAGCACTCTATATCCAGCATGTGCACCTACGACGGGGATTCAGTACGGTCAATACACTACCGGGATATTCAACGCACCTCGTCAATAAAGACAACACCAGGAACTACCTCCGCAACGCCCTGATCAACGTAGCCCTTCACTACGCGGTTCACTTCTCTTCTTAGCTTCTCTGTGATCTCCGTCCGCCCACTCTTCACCAAGCTGCCCATCACGCTCATGATGTCCTGACCGCCCTGTGGTCGCGCGTTGGCTGCGTCGAGGTCGCCTAATGTTACGTCCTGGACGAGCTCTTTTCGTTTATGCACGTCTCCCTTCGGCAGGGGCACGTAGGTCTCGGACTCAAGATCATACGAAGACGCGTACGCGTCTGAACGACCAACGCGCTATTCGTAGACGTCAAGCGAAAATCCCGGCAGAGCGGACGTAGAGCTCCCACCTTCACCGCCCCTGTATTTGCCTCCACATATATCACATCTCCTACTTGAATCTTCTCCTTCAAGATCGCCTCGTATATACTTGGATCCAGCCGCAACTGTTTTGTCCCCCGGACAGTTTTGAGACCGACAACGACGTGCGACACAGTTTTGCCGTACCCGCTCAGAGGGTTCTCGGATTCGGTTGGCGTGAGTTCTGTCACTTCTCCCTCGTACACCTCCTTCGTTTCCTTTATTCGCAGACCTGGACGCGGTCAGCACAAGCACAGAAGGATGCATATGCATATGACGTACCAATAGCGCGACGGAATGCTTCCGCGAGGACCTCCGTTTTCTTCACCTCCGTACTGTATACTTCTGACCCGACCATGGGGCAAAAGGGAACCTTCGCGCCGAGTTCTTGCGCGATAGCCAGCGCGAGCGCGGTTTTTCCGGTGCCTGGTGGCCCAACGAGAAGCAAAGCGCGCCCAGAGAATTTGCGCGACTTCACGAGGTCGACTACGACTCCGCAAGCCTACACAGGAACCATACAGTTAGGTTCTTGCTGAGCGCATCGCATCGTTCACGTTCTATTCCTTCCTTCGCATAGAGGAGCACATACCTCGCGTGCCGAAGACTGGCCAACGAACCCTGCGCTGTCTGGGATAGCAAACCCCTCGGGGTTCAAACCAAGGCCTTTTATGTGAGAGTGGGGAGCGATGCGAGACGAGCGCGTCGCGGCAGCGGTGGGCGGCGGGGGAACCGCATTGTGTGCAACGGGCGCAGACGAGGATGAACCCGCCGAAGAGACCTTCATGACAGTGGACATTGCAGAAAGGTAGGCGGAGAACGAGGAAGACAACGAGGAGCTCGTCGAACGCGTCCTCGATCGCGAAACGCGCGTCGGGTTTTCATACTCCGCCTGCAGTCCGACCACCATGATGTCACACGAGATTGAAGCTCAGCCTCGGTCTTGTCGCGCGAATGCTCTCGTCCTTTCGTGACTTCATCCCAAACAATGTCCTCCTCGTCAAAACCATTTGTGCAGCCTGGAGAGCCTTTGAATGACTTCTTGCGCTCATTTTGGCAGAGGCAGATTGATGCTGCAGAGCAAGAGACTCCCGACTACCGCCATCCACCGCTTCCGCTCGCCCGAATTAAGAAGGTCATGAAGAGCGACCCCGAAGTCAAAGTATGTATCGTTGTCACTGCAGTCGCCACAGCCATATCTGACCAAGACTTGTGGACTAGATGATTGCAGCGGATGGTGCGTCCTAACGACGTCTACTCCGTTCGCGCGAATCTCACAGGAGACCTAGCTCCGATCCTCTTCTGCAAAGCTTGCGAGAGTATGCCTCCTTGTCTATCCGGATTGTATTCTGGCTCTAACGAAAACTGGAACACTCAGTCTTTATTGCGGAGATCACGGCCCGAGCATTCATCATTGCTGACTCGAACAAGCGGCGAACGCTCTCGCGCGCCGACATAGCAAAAGCTTTGAGCAAGTCAGATCAGTTTGACTTCCTCATCGATATTGTACCTCGTGAGGAGCCTCCTGGCGGTGCAGTGCAAGGTGTCAACGCTGCTGGTCGCGCACAGAAGAAGGGCCTAGCGCTAGGCGCTGTGAATGCTGTAAGTACTTCTCACCGCTCGCATGAACCTCTATCTCAGTCGCATGGCGAACAGACGTCACAGAGTAGAGAAGACTCTGGAAACGGGACACTAGAGAGCGCGGAGGGAGGTGCGCAGGATGTTACAAGTGCAGTGGATCTAGAGCAGGTACGTTCTCAGTGACTCATGACACAATTCGTGTCCCCTGAGACCATTCCTGTCACCAGTTGCAGTCGCTGCTCCAACCACCAGGCGGTATAGAGCCTCGTCCCCATTCCTGATCTGCCCTTCTGTGTGTAGAACCTGACTGCAACTGCTCTCGTGTTGTTTGATTATTGCTCTCGACTGTATTCTTTGATATTGTTTATAGCATCTCTCCGATTGGTTCGTTGCCCCCGTACTACTTCGGTGGGCTATAGTTGTTGGTGAGATGATTCATCACGTCCCACGAAGACGGAGCAAGTGCTCCTCTGACTGCTCAGATTCCACACACTTGGTCCCCGCCCCTGTTAGAGGACATTCGCTTGCCTCACTTGCGATACCCAGTACATAACTTGACACACGAGTTCGATCTATGACGTTGCAACCCTGAAGCGCATGTCCTCATCGTACGTTTTGCTATCGTCTGGCGAGGACCCTTACCTCACCGTTCCCAGGGTCGTGCCCCTGTTCGGCTACTGTCAAGCGCAACTCGAGGCGTAGTAGGGATGGTAGAAATCTCCGTGGCATGAGCGCACCTTTCCACCATAGCTACACAACCCGCAAAGCCCACCGGTATGTATCCCCCATGAGCATGAGTATCGAGCGGAGCGGTAACAAATAACGAACTGACGATTGCAGGTCGGTCTCGACGAAGCTACGCAAATGGCGCCACACCAAAATACCAAAGCAGTCCTGAACCTCGACGTCCTATACCACATCATGTCATCTGCGACTATGCCTACTATCGCAGCCATGATGCGCGTCAGCCATGCATTGTACCGGGATGGCGCGAAAGTCATCCTGCCGCGGGGCGTCTGTCTTGATGACTCCAAGACGGTATCATCGTTTGTTCAGTTCATGATGGCAGAAGACGGTATCCGACGTCACTACTTGCATAAACTCGAAATCTTCTTCAACAAGCTGTCGTCGCAAGACGCACACCTACTCGCCCAGGCCATCCGGTCCGTGCCTGACCTGCGCTCGCTCAAGATCGTATACGCAGAGTGGGTCCTCAAACACCAGCGGCTGTTGGAGACTTTCATCGGCCTGGAGGGATTGGAGTCTATCGATCTCCGGAGCTGCGGGGAGCACGCATGCAGATTCCTCCGAGAGTCACGCTCGCGCTTCGTCTCCGCGACGATCCACTTCCCCGAGGCCGAGGAGTGCTCGATCCCCGTCGAGCTACCTGATCTCACGTGGAAGCCCATCCTCCTTCTCGAGAACTCGATGTCTACACTGGAGGTGCTGCATTGTTCAGCGTGGGAGGCGGACGACGGTATTGAGGTCCACGAGGGATACGTTTACCCACACGTTCAGGAGCTCGTCATGGACGATATCTGGTTCCCGGTCACCTCCGCCTACGTCTACTCCTATCCCAACCTGACATGCCTCCGTACGGAAACGATACATCACCAAATCTCGGACGACGAGACGACATCAGAGGCACAGCGTGCCTCCAACCTTGCGTACCAACTACGGCACGGGAGCTGGACGAAATTGCAGGAGATTCATGCCCCATTCATCGACGTCTATCTCTTAGGCTTGACTTGTTGCGTCCCGTTTCTGGACGTCATGGATGTGGGAGGAAGTGACATTTCCGTGAGACTCTCTGAAGTGCTGTCTTACCTTCAGCCTACCCGTCTCGTTTTGTCTACCAAGGACAACTTACTGCGCACCAGAGACGGGATCGCCCAAGTCTTCCGGAGTCAGGGCGCTTCGAAACTCAAGGAGCTAGAGTTGACAATGGCTTCATTTTGTTTGGGAAGTGATGGCGCTGTCGTTCGAGACGCTCTTGTGAGCTTTCCAACCAATTCCCTGGTGATAGAGCTGATTACTAATACCTATGTGCAGGACGATTTGTTCGTCGCTCTAGGCTCTCTCCGTCTCACCTCGTTCAAGCTCACGTGGGATAGCGACGCTGACCACCGCCGCATTGGCGTTCTGCTGAAACCCGGCTACCACAGCGATCATAAGGAACGCGCCGAGATTCAACGCGAGGAGAGCGCTGACGGCGAAAAGCAACTCCCTTCTTCGCGAGTTCCAGTAACGCCCCTGGAGATCTTCCTCCTGCACGTCGACGTCAATGAGCTCGTGGTCCAGATCCATCGCGCGCTACCTACACTACAGACTATTGAAGTTGCGGTGCGCAACGTCCCACGCCGTAACAATGGTGTCATAACGTTTAGCCCTGCCGAAATGTTTGACAAGTACGCAGCGCTGGAGCACGGTCTGCGTACTACGGAATATACGGATACAGCTGAAGCTTCGGGGAGGTGAGCCTTAGCACAATCAGTAGACACGCATGATGCTAGTCTGATACTTCGTCCATCCATACTGTATGCACAGGCAATAGACATAGACGCTGCGGTAGAGTCGGAAACCATCAGCTTAAGTGTCTGTTGACTCTCTTGATGACGAGATGATACGTAATATTGCATACAACTCTCGTGAGCTTCTACGCTATAAGTATATGTCTCCGATACACTCTCCAGCTCCCGTCGAGCTGCGCTGACGAACCGTCACTGCGCACATATCGCTCAGCAGCTCGATCTGGCAGGTCCGTTTCTGACGCACCCTCAAGCGGTGCGTGACCCTTCGCTGACATACGCACACTTGACCTTACGACGATAGGGTACGCTCGACCACAGTGAATGCTCCCTCATTACAATCCGGCCGTTCGATACCGTCTAAAATGAACACTGCGATTACCGAACTTTGTAACAAGATCCGAAAGTACTCTCCTCCCTTTCGCGAACGACAGCCGAATTCGAACGAGATACTGTGCGCGGAGAACCGTGGGTCAACTACTGAGAGCTAAGCATAAGAATCTGTGAAGCGAAATACCTTCTCAAAAGAGCGCAGAGAGGCCGGCACATGACATACCTTCTCGAAAGCATCTGGGAGGACGGCTCAATGGCCGGTGGGAACCTCCCTGGTGACGGTGTGCGTGACCGTCCATACTGTATTGGTAACGACGGTTGTGATGAACGGCCGCGCTGTAGTAAGGATGTTAGTGGTACCGCTAAGTATATCGTCGCCTACTTTGGACGACCAAGGGTTCGACGTACTGGTCATCAAACTCTCGAGAACCCTCGTCGCGGTGAAAGTGTCAGTAGTAAGGTGGGTGGTGAGGGAAACATCCGCCGAGGGGGTGGCCGCATCGACAACGTCCGCGGGCTACCAATGAGAGCAGTCAGTGAGTAAAGCTTGTCGAGCTGCTCATACGAACGACGAACCGCGGCGAGAGCGAGAGATACGAAGCTCGCAAGAGCGAAGAGAGCCTTGAACTGCATGTCGTTATTGTGCGAGCGGGTAGTTGTTGTGGTGGGCAACTGGGGCCGGCACAGGTTCACCCCGAAACTTATAAAGACTGAACGGATAAATCAGGTTGCGGGAGCTTGAGGGGCACCATGCAACTAACCAAACGCTCCGATCCTCGCGCAAGGCGCAGTCGGTCATGATTGACGGCCGCATCTTTGCATTTGTGCTGAGGCTGATGGGCGAGTGAGGTTCCTGGCGTCTCCCTTCCGCAGTATCCGAGGGAAGAGAATGCTGCTAACGATGAAGGGAAGGACGATGGCGAGATGAAGGGTAATGGAGCCAATCACAACGATGATAACGGCGCTGCCATGAGTCCGCCCTCGCGGGTTCATTGCGTTAGTCGGTAGTCCGGACGCGCCGACCAGCGATCCCAACAACTGCGGACATCGTAAGGTGTTGCTTAGTAGCCTGAACTATACAGATCTTTCATAACGTTCGGATAGAAACAGAGCAGGATCCTGATCGATATGCCGTGAGAAAGTTGATGCGGGGTTCGCACCCCACCCGTTCCCCGGAGCGCGAACTGCGAATCTCAGATGAGGCACTGATCCTACTTACTAACTGACCACACAACCACCATCATCCATCCCCTACAGTAAGGCACTGGAACCAGAATTCCTATAAGACATGGGCTGCCTGTAATCGAGTACATCAGTGCCGGAATATACTAGCCATGACGGCAGGGATAAGCTGCTACTACGCATGAACAGCAGATGACGTCGTGATTGTCAACTCCTTGTGACCGAGTAATGAACAAGCAAGCATCAAACAACATTGTCCGGCAGGCCCGCCGTGTACTTTCTATATGTTTGCGGAGCATTTCCAAGAGGGAGGGAGAGCGCGTGAAGCAAAACAATGGAAATGCTTCGCAATCATTCTGTTCCGCATAGCCTTGTCTGGTTCATATCATATTGGAAGCAAAGGAACAGAGTCAGGTGCGGAGGATTCCCGGTCTCGGCGTTGAACAGTCCACATCACCTTGCAAATTGGCACAGCCTACACCCGCTACGTCCACCATCTCATTCGCTTTGAAATCGGGCATATGAGACAGTTTCGCTATGTATTTCAGCTATTGGCCGCTGTGTCGTGAGAAGAGCTAGACTGACCGACCCGGTTTGAGAGAGAGAATAGGTGGGATCAAGTGGGAACAGCCTGAGCGAATGCGTCAGAAATGCTTCTCCGAGTCTCCCGCTATCCCCTGGACAGTGGTCTCCATAGAACTACGCAGATACAATAGCATGCTTATGCTTGACATTGTTGTGTGTCCACATCACCAAGGTGAACGGGCCAGGGACAGGACGGGCCCAACTGTTGTTTGCACAACCGTGCAGAATTGGCAAGAAAGTAAACACGGTCAAACTCGACAATGATCTGTTTCTAGAGTATCAAGGGCAGTATTGGCTTTAGAGAAATCGGTGCAGAGCGAGAGTCGGCCCCAGTGACTGAAGATCGCGCGATATTCGCATGGACAGGCCCGCAGCAATCTGGCGTAAAGTTCACCACAGCAGTAGACGAGTGCAAGTCGCCAGGTGAAGTCGACATATTGCCTTGTCCTCCTGCTTCCGTGTCTCGGATCGCTCGAACGAGCGCGCATGTATCTGTGCGACGCCGGACCCCCTAGGTGGGCGCAGCAATGCGGAGGAGTGTGCAGAGGAAAGGAGGAGCATCTCCGTTCGATGATGCCTCAACATAGGTCAATAAGCTAATCTCTTAGGTAATGGACGAACCCGTACCTCATGCGGATAGCTCGTGAAAGACCAGGACTATCCAGGACCTCGATCGAGAAGGTCCTCGTCTCAGTCGTTCGCAATGTAATCAAAAGAGTTGAGGCGATATACCTAATGCCAGACTAGACGCTGCGCCTGATAGAAGCTCAACAACTACCTTCGAGGCACGTTCAGCAAACCCAAGATAGCCATGTAGTTCATTGCGTAAAGGTCGAAGTCATGAGCTGACTAGCTGGCAGCGAATAGGATGATTATGCGCACCTCGTGCAGTATCTGTATCTCCTACGCCCGTGTCTGCAATGACAGATCAAAATCAATCGGTCGCCTCCGTATCGTCTACCGTCGAGCTTGCTGCGCTTCTGATATTCAAGCATTGATGAACATCCCGACCTTAGGCTGTGCGGCGTCTGTTCTGGTGCGTGTGAGATGTTAATGAGATGGGCGAGCCCAGAGACTCAAGGGACTTTCACGGTCAAGCAAGCGTACCGAGACGAACATGGGCCACAGTTTAGGGTAGCATTTTGTCGTCATTCCTGCATCTAGACAAGCGGACTGACAATTGAACTGGTCAGACCATCTCTTTAGACACAGAATGCCGGGCTTCCACACCACCAAGAAGTTTTCAATAGATACTATAGACCGACAGATTAAGTTGTGGCATGTCGACGATGTAATATCCCAAAAGCATCTATCGCCGAGGTATTACACACCTGATTCAAGCGGCTCTGCGGGCCCGAGGACATCACTGACAAACTTGTCAGCTATTTCAGGCCCTACTGCCAGTGCCAAGTAGAAGACATTGATGCAATCAGCACGGTCGCTGCTGCGACTTTCGACTAAGAGGTACAGCCGAGTCAGGATAACAGGGGTTCCGATGTTGAACTTTGCGACAAGCCGGTCCGCAGCGCTCAGCAGTGACCACAGGACGCATTCGGACGCGCGTCGCGTCACGAGCGCCTCTTTGGCGGCGTCTTTCCTCGCGAAAATCCCTCGCGGCTCCATGCCGATCCTGACTCCCACCTGCACCCTCGACAGCGATGTGCTACAACAGAGCTTTTCCAATGCTCTACTGTTTTCCCTGCAGTGAAGCTGGAGATCTGCTCTACACTGACATCGAGGGACGGCTCATACAATCTCCTCGGCCTCGAGACCAAAACCCGATAATCACTGGCGGCGATAATCACTCGCCAGGACTGAAGCCCATGCATTCGGACATTTCCAAAGGTTCCGTCTTCCATATATCACCTGAGGAGACCGTTGATCATGTCGGACCCGTCCGAAACTGCGCGCTGATGCGTAGTGTCGGACACTTGTAATTGACACTTCCCAGCATCGCCGTTATAGTGCAGACCAATAGCTGCAGTAAGTAGGTTACGCGTTCAAACGGCGGCCCCGACCTGCCGAACAAGCGAGCGACTAACGTTCTCTGCCTCTCAGGCACGGCTTTACGGTTCAACCAGGACTTTGTACTGGAGATGGCTCTCATGGCCGGCATGGCCCACTCGAATACTTACCGCGACATGTCGCAGCGTCGGTATCTTCGCCCAATGCGGTATGACAGTAGTTTTTCATCTACTACTCGGACCGCAGCTATCGCTCAGACCGCGTGCCTTACATCGGTCAGGGTGGTCGACCGTTGCTGCGGTGACCCGACGTCCGCGCGATTTTTACGCTTCGCGGAATTTACCTTTGCTTCTTGCGGGAAGCCTTGACCTACCGAAGAGCTGTGATGGTGCGTACAGTTGCTCATACCTGGTGTGGGAAGGACTTGGTGACGCTTCCAAGGGCGTAGGTATAAAGTCTTTCAGATGCCCATATCGCAGTCCAACAAGCTCACTTCGGTGTTTCGCCCCTGGCCCAGCTCTCTTTGCAGTGTCTTCTCCTACGTTCGTTGAGCATGATGAGGAAGTTCCAGTCCTTCGCTGCGCTCGTAGCGCTTAGCCTTTCTTACACCCACCCCGTCGCCGGTGCCATTGGCCCCGTCGCGGACATGACGGTTACCGATGATAACATTTCTCCTGACGGCTACTCTCGCGCCGCTGTGTTGGTGAACGGTGTATTCCCTTCCCCCCTCATCACCGGGAACAAGGTATCCGCACTCCACTACTCGACCTGGCTTCAGATATTCACAAAATCCGCTCTCAGGGCGACAACTTCCAACTCAACGTCATCGATAATTTGACTAACGACACCATGTTGACCGCGACCACTATTGTAAGTTTCGCTTTTCAACATTGGTTCCCTATTTATAATATATTTCCCGTTTTTTCCAGCACTGGCACGGGTTCTTCCAGAAGGGGACTAACTACGCTGACGGTCCTGCGTTTGTCAACCAATGTCCCATCTCGAAGGGCAACTCCTTCTTGTACGACTTTACGGCCACAGACCAGGCAGGTACTTTCTGGTACCATAGCCACTTGTCGACCCAGTACTGTGACGGTCTCCGTGGCGCCTTCGTCGTGTATGACCCCAACGACCCTCACGCGTCACTGTACGACGTGGATGATGAGTCTACGGTTATCACGCTCGCGGACTGGTACCACACTGCGGCTCGTCTCGGCCCTCGCTTCCCGTAAGTATTTCACTTCCTTGTATCGATCTCTGCGCTAATAGTTTTTCAAAGGCTCGGCGCTGATACAGTCCTCATCAACGGTATCGGCCGCTTTACAGGTGGTGACGCAGTCGACCTAGCGGTGATCTCAGTCACTCAGGGGAAGCGTTACCGTTTCCGCCTCGTATCCATCTCATGCGACCCCAACTTCACCTTCTCCATCGACAACCACAACTTGACCATCATCGAGGTCGACGCCGTCAACCACCAGCCGCTCACTGTGGACGAGATTCAGATTTTCGCCGGGCAGCGCTACTCGTTCGTTCTCACCGCCGACCAGGCAATAGACAACTATTGGATCCGCGCGCTACCGCAGATCGGTACTGTGAGCTTCGACGGCGGCGTCAATTCGGCTATCCTGCGTTACGACGGGGCGGCTGCAATCGAGCCCACCACAAACCAGACTGGCGGCAGCAACCCGCTCGTCGAGGCCAACCTCGTCCCTCTCGATAACTTGGCTGCTCCTGGCTCGGCTGTAGTGGGTGGTGTCGACTGGGCCCACAGTTTCGATTTCTCCTTTGTGAGTCCTCATACGCCGGGTTTCGTCCCAACTAAGCTAATTTCTTCCACATAGAACGGTACTGAGTTCTTCATTGACGGCACCCCCTTCGTCTCCCCCAGTGTTCCCGTCCTGCTCCAGATCTTGTCAGGTGCCCAGAGCGCGTCGGACCTCCTCCCCAGCGGCAGCGTCTTCTCACTCCCTTCGAACTCGACGATCGAGCTCTCGTTCCCCCTCACCGCCACAAACGCCCCCGGCGGTCCCCACCCCTTCCACCTTCACGGGCACACCTTCTACGTCGTCCAGAGCGCCGGCCAGACCGAGCCCAATTACGTCAACCCTCCCCAGCGCGATGTCGTGAGCACCGGTACTGCAGGGGACAACGTCACCATCCGCTTCACGACCAACAACCCCGGCCCGTGGTTCCTCCACTGCCACATCGACTTCCACTTGGAGGCTGGCTTCGCCGTCGTCCTTGCCGAGGACATCCCCGACGTGTCTTCCGCGAACACTCCGACCAGTAAGTGTTCGCATAGTTAGATTGCCATAAGTTGCTCCTAACGTGCTCTCGTATTCCAGCGGCTTGGGAGAATCTGTGTCCCACCTACTCCCAGGTGTACCCCAGCGGTCTCTGAGCGCTGAAGCGCGGACGAGGTCGTCAAACACACATCATTGCTGAACTGAGCTGAACCTGCCAAACACCGAGGCTTTTTGAATATCTATACATTCTATTCTCTCCACGGTTTCTCTTTGGGTATCCATAGCGAGGTGTTACTAGCTATAGGGCACTAAGTACGTTCTTTGGGACCGTCGTGGAACACTGTCCCTGCATGATGCTGTGTCTCACATGAGCTCTATCCCTCCTGTCGTTACGCACTGCATTGCAAGGCTCGAGTAGGAAACTGAACATTGACATGGGCTCTCGTCTTGTTACTATTCTTAATTGTAATATTTAGAGGTGCTACTGCGATAACCGGTGGCGCTGGAAATAAAATCAACGTTCTCTTCGTACCCTTGCAGGTCCATCGTGATCAACAGCATAATTCAGTTATGATTGCCAGCCAGAGCGGGTGGTCCGCGCACGCAAAATGATGTCATGATTTCCTTTCTCGATGGTTAACGTTCAACTACTGGTTTGGGATTGGTGTCAAATATTTGAAGATAGTCCCGAAGCAATGGGTTTGCCCCTGACCATATGGACTCGGACTCCTTGCCGCGAACGGTGCGTCACTGAACTTAATTCTAAGCATGATGCATGCTCGCGAATCCCGCAGTAGACGGGGACAAAGAGCGACACGTCGATATTTCATTCCCGACCTTGCAATGCCCGACTCGAAGTTCTGGCAAACCCAGAGGTCCTTCAATTGCAAGCTAGTGAAGGCTCGTGTCGTGCAGCGCGATCGAACCCCCGTCGCTTACGTCAGCGGCTTGTGGCGTCGCCCCGCTGTTCGCGCGACCGGCGGCTCCCCGGTCCTCCATCTTGGGACATATCGCCATCCTCGCCGGAGTCGTCGTCTTCGTCGACCTCATCGGCAAGGGCATCTTCGATGCTTGAAACCAGCCTTGTCGGACTTGCTTCACTTGTCAATGCGTATGAGTGTGGAGCTGCCATTGTTCTGGTTCTTGCCCTCTGACCAGGATGGCGGAAGCAGAAACAATGAGTGCCCGCTTCGCGTTCCTGGGCCTCGCACGATACTCAGGATTATCGCGGGCAGTCAGGCTCACCGAGGCCATCTCGTGGAACGAGTGTTGTAGCAGTGACGGAAGGGTGTATTTGCCTGGGTGGCAACCTCAGGGCTCGCTTTCGTACGTATCTCGCAAGTAGCTTCTGTCTGTTGTGTTCATCAGCTTTCATCTATGCACTAATAGGACCATTCTCCTTCCCCGCAACTGCGTCTGCATCGTGATCTGGCTGACATCGCGGTCTCTCCCGGTTTCCTTCATCTGTGTTGGTTGTCCTTCCGCGCCGAGCGTGCGGACGCTGCTCTCTCCGGTGGGTATATGCTGCGTCGGGAGAACGGCGCCCGCAGGCTGGCGCGGAACGAAGTTGCACAGGCTCGTCACCCTCTCGTTCTCGCTCGTGCTGCAAGATATGCTCATGGCCACCCGTATCAGCGAATGGTCGAGCGTGTCATGCCAAGCGGACCCCCCAAAACGACCTCACGCCGAGGTGGGAACGTACCCTTGCGTCATGTTTCGCTGATCTTCTACGTTCGTGATGCATGGCTTGTTCTTCGTATGCAAGCGGTCATGCGCCAACGTCCGTATAGTTCTCGCGGCTCCGACGAATGGTTCCGGACTGCCACGCTCTCCTTATCGGAGATGTTGTAACGCGGGGGCTAGATGTTTAAGCAATCACGGTTTTCACAAGGTGCACATTCACCATCTGGTCGTGAGAGCAGGATCGAGTGGGTGGCTCAGAGAAGAGAGCGAGGATCAGGATCCGTCTGATGAGGGTGCTGCAGCAGGTTCGGAGGTTGCTTCTTTTCAGTGTCTTATCTACTTGGCGGACGACATCGTTGGGACATCGGAGGCAGTTCGGACGGCATTAATGAGATGGTCGTCGTATGGAATGCGGCGTGCACGTCAATATTACGCGGATCGGGACAGAGGGAACGGAGTCGGAGCGCGGGCGTTCCCAGCACTCGTCTGGTTTCATTTAAATTTTGGTGAGTAGGCTTCTTTGACAGGGCTTTGAATAGGTGGCACCCAAGTTTGACAGAACGCTTTGAAGTGGATGGTACATCGAATCGGCGCCGAGGTTCGAGTCGGTGGTGCGTGAGACCCAACGGTGCAGCCGCGTAACTTGTACACAAGTTCCCATGCAATGTTCTCACTGAGGTCAGTGTCGAAGCACGATCCGGCCAGAGGCTACAGCCTGCGCAGGTCGTCTACAGCGGTTTGGTCATACCAGTGCTTCGACGATCGGCGGATCCGGTTATGAAGAGATGCCGTGCGCACCCATTCTTCACGTCTGTCGATGGATTCGGTGAGGAAGCTATGAGGGAAGGTTGAGAAGCACGGAGCTGAAAGCGGTGTTTGACAGGTCTGATCTGGCTCTTGGCGTGCATGGCGTATCTGCCCTGCGGCCGATTCCACCCCTCGAACATCTCTTGCTTGATAGCCCCCGCGGCCGATAGTTGACATCACCCCGTCTGGTATAAGGTTGGCGCCGCTCTCAGCAAGGCTCCGATCCTCCTTCCACCACGCATGCCCTACTCCTCTCCGTCCTCGCGCCGTCTGCTCGCTGCCGTCGTCCTCCCTCTAGTTGCCACCTATGTCTCTGCGTTGAACATCACCGTCCCGGCTGCTCTACCTGACAACGCCCAGCCACTGTCCACTACTCTCGTCTCTTTTTCAATAGAGCAGGATCGCTGGCCTGACTGGACAGGAGTCGACGCTCGCAACAACTTCACCTTCAATGCGCTCTGGAACTACGCCGAGCTCACTGGGAGCCCCCCAAGCATCCGCGTCGGTGCGAACTCGGCAGATCGTACCTTTTGGGCCCCGACAGAGAGCCTGAACGAGGACTCCTTTCCCACACCCAACTCTGTAAACCCCTATCCCGAAGCGACACGCATCGTTGTAGGCAACAACTTCTACAACCTCTCCAAGTATCTTCCTCCAGGTACGCGCATAACTTGGGGCGTAAACTTGGCCGCGAACAACGTCACGAACGCCATCAACATGGCGAGGGCGATCACCGGCTCCTTTAGCGATCCCGCTGTGATAGCGTCGGACATTATCCTTGACCGCATCGAGATCGGAAACGAGCCCGACCTGTACGCCCACAATAACTTGCGACCTTCCAACTACTCGGTCAAAGAGTATGTTTCCGAGTGGCAGGCGAACGCGGACCCGGTGGTGCAGGCCCTTGGGATCCGCGGGCGGAGCGGGTTGTTCACGATCCAGGGTGCTGCATTCGCTAACCAAGGCTTCACGCCCCGCGAGATATTCAACCTTGGCATCCTGAACAGCACGGGTGGGAAGGCGATCTCCACGTACGTCACCCCGAGTTCTTCATGGAATGGGCGCTAATGAAGCTGGCCGCGTGCAGCATCTCCCAGCACCACTATTCGGGCCAATCCTGCAAAGGCGGGAATTTTCCGCTCAACTCGTTCATGAACAAGACGGCTATCCGTGGCAACTTGTCGGTCTTTGAGCCTGACATCAAGGCGACGCGGGCGCAGGGGCTCGACTATGTTCTCGGGTTCGTACCAGCATGTGGCAGCTCTGGATTCTACTGGTGGCTGGTGGATCGCATGCTGACCCTGTCCTGCGCAGCGAGACGAATAGTATCGCGTGCCACGGTGCCCCTGGAGTAAGTGACTCGGCTGGGGCTGCGCTGTGGGTTGTCGATTACACCCTCCATGCGGCGACGCTGGGCATCAAGGAGGCGTATTTCCACGAAGGGGTTGGCTACAAGTATAACTTCGTACGTCCCCCCGTTAATTCGAGGTTGGCCTCTGAGTCGTCTGTCATTGACACCGTCGACTGTCCACTCAGTTCCAGCCTGTGTCACTGAATCGCTCTATCGACGACGGCTCCTCTGTCAACCCGCCGACACCTCCGCGCGTGATGCCTATATACTACGGCGGGCTGTTCATCAACTCCTTCATCGGCAACACAGGTTCCTCGGAGTTCGTAGAGCTCGACGTCAACCACACGTACGTCACAGGCTACGCGGTATACGAGCAAGGCCACCTCGCCCGCGTCGCCTTCGTCAACCTCCAGCCGTATCTATCGAACACGCGCGGGGCCCGTCCCTCCGTCAACATCCGCATCGACTTTATCTCCCCCGCGGACTCGCCGTCCCTCGCCCAGCTGCTCAACGGCCAGACCGTCAGCGCGGAGCACCTGCTGCTCAGGTACGCCGACGACAAGGCGAACCTCACGTTCGGCCGGCGGTCGTACGAGACGCCAGACGCGCTCCCGGACTCGCCGACGGAGGCCGTGGACGGGTTCCTGCTGTCGGGGAAGCCGCTCGCGCTGCCCGCCTCGGAGGCCGTGCTGATCAGCTTCGCGCCGCCGTCGAGCCCTGCGGGAGCTGGGCCGAGCGGGAGCACCCCGGTCTCGAGGAACGGCACTGTTATCGTGGCCGGGGTGATTTCGGGCGTCGTGGGTGCTGCGCTGTGCGTTGGAGGGGTGTGGTATCTGCGGAGGAGGTTTTCGGTGCGGAAGCTGTAGTGTTTTCCTCGTTGTGTTGTTTTGGATATTCTTATTGTTATCGGGATAACGCTATTTGGGTCAGCTGTTTGGACGCCTCGGGGCGTATGTTAGTGTATAGCCTTCGATTAATTCTATACCCTTGCCACCTGTTGTAGTCTAGTGTACTTGACGGATTCGACCTAACGTTGGGAGGTGCAAACGACTTTCCAGCTCGACATCGCGTACGTGTTCGCTAAGCCTGAACGTTGCTGAGCATGCGTTGCCCGCGATTCCGCCTGTTAATGGAATCGCCCATCGAGCGTAACATGTGTGCATTTCTCGATTCATCGACGAATACTCGCAGATAGGAATGCCGTTTTCGAGAAGACCTTCCTTGACACAGCCTCGCGTCATTCAGCACGGATACGGTGCTCATCTTCCTGTGGCTCTCTCTTCAAGCGGAGGGCGAGTCGCGCTTTCCCAGAACGTAAGCGATCGTCTGGAAGGCGGCCCACGGAACGAACTCTGGTCGAAGCGTAACACGGACGATGAGCGTAAATCTGGTGCGAGTCGGATCCCGACTCACGGGGCGTCATGTGTCCGCTGTAGTAGAATTCGACAACTGTGCACGTCCACCTGTTAGATTCGCGGGGCACCCGTGTGACAGACTCGGAAGGACACGCACAAGTCAGACCACGCTCGGTGTGCATGTTGCCGAAGACGCCCATGTCGTCCACGAGGAAGCTCTCGTCCTCGATAGGCGTTTGGAAGCCTTGGAGTCCGTTCCAGGTCATGTTCCTACGAGAGTCAAAGGGAGATCGGCGTCTCGCGCGGCCCCGAGCCGGACAAGCGCAACGTACTGGATGGCGATCCGCGTCCCTTCAGCGACGAGGATGAAGTCCTGGTGCGGAGCGCAATCAACTTCTGGGTTCCGCACGGGCGAAACGCACACACCGCGAGACCGTGCACGATCGCGACCCTCTCGCTCTTCTCGATGACGTTGGGGAGGACGCTGAGGGTGGACGCGACGCTCTGGTCGTTCCCTGGGGCGCCGGTCGTCGGGTCGATGTAGACGGGGCCGCCGCAAGCGACCCAGTTGACGTGAGGTGCGTGGATGGCGTCTTGGACCTGGTGAAGTGTGAGTGTCCACGCTAATACCAGAGTGGTTGTATCGCGTACGCACATCGGTACTGGAAGAGATGATTAGCAGTGGTCTCGGACGGAAGTTCATGCTACGACTTACCGGTTGAAGTATACAAACTTCTGGGTCGACCGCGGGAACCCGAGCACGCTCCCTAGGAATATATGTCAACGGTAGCCGAGGGGTAGGGAGATAGGGCACGTTACAGAGGTTCGGGAATGTGTCGGTCACGCGGTAGACATCGAACACTGGATTGATACTGCGAAGCGATTTGATATAGTAGGTATCAGAGGGTGAGAAGGATCACCTACATCCCGACTGCTCGCTGTATCGGACTATGTATCCTACACTCGGGCTTCACGCCGACAGCCCGAGTGACGTTGTCGAACGTCGCCCCGACAGGCAAAGGCAGCTGTCCAGCAGGTGGGTAGGTCACGAAGTCGTCGAGGTAGTCAGTATAGCCGCAGGAGTCAGAGATGTTTTGCAGTTGAGCCCAAAACGTCGAGTTGAAGGGGAAGACATTCTTGTTCGCCTACGTCAAACCGTCAGTACTCGGGCGATGTCTGCATATGATAAGGCGAGACAGCAAATACTGACCTGTGCAAAGCGAAGGGCGGGTATTTCTTGCTGCACAAGATTCCAACTGAGCGATGGATCGGCAATCCAGATGCCCTTGAGGTGGAGATCCGGATTCGGGTGTTCATAGAGGAAATTAGCGATATAGGGAACGTCTATTGGGTTGCCTTAGTGATGGGGGGAGCAATACTCATCCGAGGAGACTCACAAAATCCTGCGTACTGATCGAATTGGCGAGTCAGTTGGACAAGACCGCTCTTGTTGCTTTGCTACTCACGCTCTCTCCGCTGACCCAAAAGTTGCTTCCCTTTAGTTCGCTAAAGACTTCCAGGAACTGCTCAAGGAATCCGGCGACTTCGGCCGCCAGCTCATCGTCATTGCTGATGTTTGGTTCACCTTGCGAGAAGCCAGTCTGCATCGAGATTAGCACACGACAAATTCGATAAACCAGTGTTACATACGCCAACGGGTTGCTCCACCCAAAGGACGTTCGTTAGGTTCGTCCAGCTCCAAGGATTTCTTGTTCATTATCTGTGAGTACCTCGCGAGTCTAGCCATGGAATCATGTGGAAACCTACGGCGTCGGTTCTGCCTGACCCCATGACCAAGCTGCAGATTGTCGATTTACGCCTCCCCGAGATGATAGTATAAGCAATACATACAGATAGGACCATTCTCCTGCAAGAACCCTTCAAGAGACGAACAGCCGGGTCCACCTGGGAGCGTAAGTAGTGCGATATCAACGTATGTCATCATTTTGAAGCAGCGCCAGTTGGCACCCACCATTCGTCCAGAAGAGGAGATCGTTCACGTTCGAGATGTTATTAGTAGGCCAGAACCTGGGACGGCGTGAGTCAGTGAATAACGGTATGACTCTTCGTGTTCATGCTGACGTACCAGAAGAATAGCTTGCGGGTCTCATTCTTAGCACCAGATATAGGCATCAAGCCTGACCATGATGGGCCCGCGTCGAAGTTGACTGAGCAGGCAAAGGGTATTTAGCGAAAGAGAACAGAAACTGAGGAATGCATCCTGCGACTGACCGTCGGGGATCCTCGTCCCGTCAACGAAGAGTTCCTTCGCCTTCGGATTAGCAAAACTGATTGGAGCCTCCCGCTTTGCTATGTTTCCAGTGGCAGGGTCGGGCTGGGGAGGCTGAATAGGTCCCAAAAAGTCGCGTAGGCGATCCAGCTGTTCACGTTGAATAGTCTCTGCCGTCTCCATACCTTCCATGGCGCTTCCCGAGAACCGAGAGACAGCCCCCGTCGCGCAGAGCACCAGGATGCCGAGCAGTAGTCTCAGAGCTGATGACATCACGCAAAGACTTTCTGAGGTATGGCGGAGGCTGACTGCCACAACTCATGACTTTAATACCTGCAAGGGATGAGGTGCGGCTCTCCGCATACCTACAGCGAATTCAGTGATTAACGGACCCTACCGTCACGAAGGTCATGAGGACACTACAGATAGCGGGAAAACCTGCCTTCTCAAATGGCGCAACAGTCTCACGGAGAAGTGAAGTAGGAGCAAGGTTGCGCCTGGAATTCCTCGGTGGAAGAGGGGTGTCATATATCGGAACACCGCCCATCTGTAGGACCGGATTGTCCTTCAGGACGGGCCGCGTGGAGATGTCTCGACGCCTTGCCGTTGCTCACCTGGTGAAGGTCCACAAGGCGACGAAGCTACAAGAGCGCTTCTCCTTGCCATCGAGGCCATCCCATCACACGGCCATATGGAGTACCTGGGATTTTGCTGATAACATGGTCAGCAGAAGTGGAGGCGGCTGCGTAGAGGAGGGTACCAATGGCGCTTATCGCCGCGATTTGAGATCAACGCCGAGCGGGAGATATAGTTGAACGCTCGAACGCGTAGTAAGAAGGATAGGGACTTACTTATGTACCTCTCTTTGCCGATAAACATGGAAAAATTACGACATAGTGCGCGAGCGGAACCGTCTGCTCTCTCATGAAGCTACCCAGTGCGTTGCGTTTGGCAGGACGGAAAGTCGGCAATGACACGCTTGAGTATCGGGTATAGCTGTCTGCAGTACTAATACTAGGACGGCTGGGAATGTTGAATGAGCAAAGCCAACACCGATATCGGTGTTGGTGTCGAGGGCACTACATGACCTGTAAGAATGTGTCAGGCCATAGTAGGCGGCAACGACAACCGGTCCATGCAGTTGCGGTACTTACTGTATGTGCGGGAAACGCAGACAAACCTAATTAGACGCCCAAAAGCTCTGGGCTTGGTTTTTGGATTCTAATTTCTGTCGGCCGAATGATTCCGATTGCAGGGAAGAGAACTTGAAGCGGGCATAAGGAGCAGTTTTGGATGGACCTTCACAAGGAGGATTTTGACAACCATGACTCCATGATGAACAGACCTCACATCAGTCAAAAAAATCAATCCTTTTGTCCGATGAGTCGCTTACAAGTAGTGCAACCGCTCTGACACTCTCAAGACCGTGCAAACATGATATCGATAATTACCCGTACTCTGGACACGACGGTGAAAGGCCATTCAAACTCAACTAGTGGACTCGGGGAATCTCGCCTCGGATGTACGAACTGGTAACAGAGGTACCGCATACGGACTCCCAAGTCGATACAGGTGAAGCGTGCGATCAAAACTGCCTAGACCTCTCCTCCATCGCCGCCCACGCGCGGGTGCGTTCTTCTTCGCGCGCCTTCACAGTCGCCATGATCCGCTCCGCCGCCTTCTGCGGAGGCAGGCTGATAAGTTCGGAGCGAGACAATGGAGAGGACGCATCGCGACTCCTTTCCCTCGGCTGGGCGGCCGGCGGACGTGCTTGGGGGCTGTCGCGATGCATGACCATGACAGCGAGGGCGCGACGCATGGCGGTCCTCATGGGGGTGGACGTTGCAGCAGGATTGGGAGAATGGATTATGCGGAAGTCGCTGGGATGTTTGAATGAGCTCACGAACGCATTGACCCTAAGAGACCCGAAGGAAGAGTCGCTTGATGAGGCGCTACCAGTGGAGCCTCTCGCCGAGAAGTTGCTTTGACGATCATTGCCAGAGGACGACGTGCCATGGTCGGGAGCGAATATGTCGCTGTCACTAGGAAGGTGTGCTAGACCACACAATGCGGAAGACGAGATCTCCAACATCGCCGAGACCGGGCTACAGTCCAAGAAGGCGTCAGCTGACTCATAGGTGGACCAGGAGTCTTCCACCTCATCCCGTTCTTCGTCTATTGTAGCGATAGTACCCGTGATCGAGGTGGTTGAGGGGTCGGCATCGGAAGGGGTGGACTCGTCGTTCAGCCAGAGAGTAGAACTATATCGGTGGGGCGTCGGAGAGATTGGGGGAAGAGGGGAGATAGCACATTGACCTTTGCTCGGGTCGCTATAGAACATAGTGCGGCATAGTTCAGAAAGCGGCCTGGATGTATCGAGATCGTCGGAGGTGAAGAGTGAGTCGCTCAAGTGGGCCACGGTGGAGATGGTCTTGGCAGGAGTTTGGGTTCGCCCAATCGGCCTTACTGAATCAAAGTCTGCAGTGTCACAGTTGTTCCTGATAGCAGATTGCAACCCATCCACAAGGTCGTCCAACATAGCCAGTGAAAGCGAGATCTTGTTCAGAGCCGAAGACGGTAAGATTTCCTCAGAGACCTGAGCAGGTGAGTACTTCACAAGCTGATAGTCGCAGATGTCCCCAGATTCAGGATCACAGAGCTGTAGAGTTGTATGTCCAGGAAGGACGCAAGCGAAGATTAAACGAGACAAGCTTTGGATGACGTCTTCAGGGAATTGTCGCGTAGGCATGCCGAAGAACGGAGGGTGAGTCAGAGGATCCTCAGGCTCAAGCAAGCAGAACAAGAGGAGGATGACAAGATGAGTGTACAGCATACTTGAGAGCTAGCGGCTTGCGGCGGGGGCTGACCGCAGGGATGGACCGGGCGACACCGCGAGTCATCTGGGTCTCTTCAAGATTGCGGCGGCAGGTAATGGCCTGTAACATTGATGAGCAGACGCTTACTCAGTAGCTATCCTCCTATAAGGAACAACCTCACTTACAAGACTCAGATATGTATATGTCTTGGCTGCGATGCGTCGCCGGAAGGTTGGCTCAACAAGGCGAAGCTCAAACGAGATGGCATCGTGACTGTTCGGCAATCCCCGAATGCTAGGCCTCAGGCGCTATCTTGTCGTCAATACTACGCCTGCGGTCCTACTCCTATGTACTGCCACCAATGTGTACCAGTGTTCTTGATTCATCTCATTCCAGTCGGCTTATTCTTGATATGAGATGGACCTCGTTTCGCTTACAGTAGAACCCTCTTAACCTATTCCTACTCATCACGGGCGCGCTCCTGCCCCAATGGAGTTTGGACCTTCAAACTTGGTAGGCAGGTAGATGAACCTCCTGAGGCGGGATCGCGCGCGCGGTAACCAGGTATGTATTAAGAGACTTCTACTGTTTCCTCACCCACTGCATGTCCACTGATCGTTGTCAACTTTGTATCGTGAGCTCGGTTGACACGTTGTGATAGGCTCTCACAGTTGTCAGTCAGGGCGCTCCGGTATCCCGGGGCCATCTCCACAGTCGGATTGCCTTGAAACTTTGAGATACTTAATTTCCAGCGACCCAAGGGCTGTTGCCTCCGTGCTTCATTGTATCTCCCGAACTTTCCTCTCACAAGCGATATACTGATATGCCGACATGCTTACCTTTTTCCTTCCTAAAGCGAAGAAAGTCTCAATCTCCAAAGGTCAAGATCCCTCAAGGATCGATCGAACGCAAGCCAGGAGTGTCTATAGTAGTTGAGAACGGCGAAAGGTCTCGTAAGTGCGCGCCTTTCTTGATGCTAGCGACGTGCTGACCACACCGTAGGACCGTTGTTGGAACACACATCGCTTCCAGCATCTTTGCCTTTACCTCCTTCGTCTTCGCCTTCGCCTTCGAGCTACTCGTCATCTTCCTCGTATGCCTCTTCATCAGCTTCCTCCTCGGAGCTGTCTCCCTATACTTCAGCTCATCCAACGGGGCCTTCGCCATCTCCTGGTGTCTCTCCTTTACACCCGTCATCGCCTCCTACTCCCCCGCCATTGTCATCCTCTCCAGCCAGGCCGGAAATTAGTCATCATGAGCGCTGCATGCCATTGCCGCTCGAACTTTGGGCCGAGGTCTTCGGATATACGGATGGAATCTGTCTAGGAAACCTTATTCTGGTCAACCGTGCTCTCGGTCAAGAAGCCGAACGTCTTCTTTACCGCAACGTCATTCTCAGGACGAGGGGTTCGTTTCATCTCTTCTACCAGTCCATCCATGCCTGTCGACGCAGAGCGGCGATCGTTACGGGTATCCATATCTCATCCCTCGAGGACCGTGCCGACCTTGATCGCATTCCATCGCTCCTGCGGGAATTCCACAATTTGCGACGGCTGACCCTTGTGCTCTTCGAAGCCAGACTACCTCAGGACCACATGTCGATCCTTCAGGCAATCTTGGGCGTTCACTTCCCATCGCTATCCAGTTTCTCTATCATGTCGCCGTTGCCCCTCAACGACTGCTTCCTGAATTTCCTCGAGTCTCACTCCCACCTCCAGCATCTCGATCTTGGGAGTATGCAGCTTCTCTCAGGTAGCGATCTATCCCGTTTCCGGTACCCCCCGATACGTTCTCTCACATGCACATCTCGCCTGCTCGCCCATCTCTCCCCTATCGTGACCAGTCTCACACGACTACACATAGTCTCGTGTTCGAGCTCCCAACTTATCCGTGTGGCTGAGCAACTCGGTCCTCAAATCGTGAGCTTGCGCCTTGGAAGCGTTTACATACCTATCACTACATATGCCGTGAACAATGACTTCGCGAGCATGTCCTTGTATGATGTCGCAACAAGGTTCCCTCGTCTCCGTTTCCTCCAGATTGACATGGGTCAGGTGCGTTGCATTGGTTGAGATACCTTGGTAGAGATGACCTGAATACTTTCGATCTCATCTAGGATGACAATAGGTACCTGAGGGTCCAAGCTGTTGATTATCGCCTATTGCGCCCGCAATCAGCGCGACATCCGGACGTGCCCCTCATCACCCTCGTGTTGGCGTTCTCGCGGCCAAAAATGTCTATTTCAGCCCCGATGCATGACCCACAGAGTCGGTCGGTGACCATGGGCTACCAGCGGTTTTGGAAAAGAGCAACAGTGAAGCTTTCGAAGGACTGGGGCCACTATATCGAGCAGATCGTATGCACAGACACGATTACGGCTTACGAGTCCCACACGCATAGTGACGCCCAGGCGCGGATAGTTCTGAACGCCGATGGGATGGTGTGGGACAATTATTGGAAAGAAGTGTAGGAGTGTCACATTCACCTAAAACTTTTGGCGTCCAGGGAGCCCTCATGATATTGATTTTCAAGTCTAGTGCTGTGTGGAAGTGCTGTGTTACATATACTACACCTCGAGCCTCATCGCGGAGATTTATGCACATACATAACGCCGATCAGGAAACATGGGAATCACTTGATGCCCCTTAAAATCGCCTCTAAGGGCATTAAGGCGCTTAAGATGGCTTTAAGATCGTATAAGACGTAAGAATTAAGATGCTCAATTAAGACGCATTAAGACGATTAAGATGGGCGAATGCAAATACGTTCTGCACCGTCATCGCACGCGTCGGCCTCTGTCACAATGTCTGTACACGCTCCAACTGGTCTCTCACTCTGCTCTGCTCCATCATTGACACGCTGTACGGAGTTTGGTAGCGTCGGCGCTTAATTGCGTCGGACGGACAAACACGGACAAATGTTAGCAGTACGATGCCGTAGCCACGTCACTGTACAATCCCTAGTCCGTCGCTACGAAGCCTTCGGTTTGAGCCCAAATCCCCTGTCTGTGTCTGAGTTCTGAGGTGCCGCTGGGCCCTCGTCTATGCTTGTCTTCTCTCATTCTAACAGAGTTGAGGGTGAGCAACTCGAAGATATGGCGTGGGAGAGCTAAGTGTCTTAAGGCGCTAAGCCATTAAGCTCCGACTTGTGTAACCCGAGACTACTCGCCGCAAACGCTGAGCTGATCTCGATGTGGCACCAGCTGCTGTAGGCCAGGCTTTGTCTCTTGCTGCTACCCCAGCGACATCTGGCTGATCCAGATGGCTCGCTCCATCGCTGCTAATCTCTGTGTACCCGTCTTACTACTGTGAGTCTGAGGTCAAAACATTCGACGACTCCGAGGAAATCAAGTGCAAGTAAAGAGCTGCACCAGAAACAAAGAACTAGATGAGTCTATGGACCATTTCTAGCAAGCTAAGTATGAGGCAAAGCCAGTGCCCAGCTCGCAATTAGTCTCATTCGTGTATGGCAATGGCATGTATCAGTGTCAATATCCAAGTCATTCCATCACCAATCCCTCATGATGGCTCAATGATAGAATTCCCGAGAGAGACTCGAGCAGACGAGGATCAACTCTGTCAAGAATACTCAGCTCAGCTCAGCTCAGACGACATGATAAGTGCATACATCGTGACGAGGGGGTGTGCGAGTCGCTGCAATGATCTCGTTACATGTAATCTGCCAAGTCAAATCGTATCGGCGCTAGCGAAAGAAGGCGGTACTCGGGTTGCCACAACTTCGTTGCGACCACTGTGGAGGTACTAACTGTTGTGTTGTTTGTAGCCGTCATGGCCACTCATCTGCTAGCGTACCTCATGGGAAGGAACAAACTCGGTTCAGATGTCGAACAATGTGACAGGCGCGCAGTCTCTGATTGGAAAGCTTGTGAATGCTACCAAGGCCTCCAAAGCCTTCCCCAGCTAATTGGTTCATATTCAGCGGAAAATGCAAGTAATTCCATGTCACCGCATACGACCCCGGTCACCGACCTTGGACTCCCCATTGAGCTATGGATCCAAGTCCTTCGGAGTGCTTCAAGAGGAACACAAGCGAAGATGATGCTCGTGAATCGCCCACTGAGCGAAATCGCAGAAAGCCTCCTCTATCACTCCGTCACTTTAACGTGGAATATAGACGTTCCAAAATTCAGCCAATCCATCGCCTCCTGCATCCGACGCGCTAGTCTGGTGATCGATATCCACATCCTGCAAATAAAACCGCTCGGCGACAACCGTGTCCCGGCCCTGCTGCCATATCTCATCGGTACCCTCCAGAACTTACGCACGATGACACTCAAGATGACAGTAGCAAGGATGGCAAGCTGCGACGACATCTTGCATATACGCCTCCCTCACTTGCGCAGCTTTACGTGCAACATGAATATCAACTCGGACGAGGTCTTCTTCAACTTCCTAACAGCACACGAAGACCTTGTAGAGCTCGACCTAGGCTTCACCTACCCGCCGAACCTCCCAGGCGTTGAGGATCGTTTGGACAAGAAGCCCTTCTCCTCACTGCATACCATAGCGTGCTCGTCGCGCTGGCTGAACAGCCGCTTGCCAGTCCTGCACAACCTCACGCACCTCTACTGGACGGGCTACATCGCGACGGAGGTCGCGCACATCGCGACCCTCTTGGACCTAGTGTTGCCGCCAAGCCAGCTAAGCTAAGCTAAGCTGACGAGCTGGATCGCGCTGGATCACCAAGCCGGAGCAAGCTAAGCCGAGATCCGGCTAGCTGGGCGCCAACTCCCTGGCCAGGCCCCAGCCACAGCTTGACTTGCAAGCTCACATTCCAGATATGGCAAGACATTGCATGCGCCGACAGCGAACTGGGCATCATCGTTCCTAGTGTAGTAACAACATGGTATACATGCACAGAACATAACACCATGTATGCATAAGTTCAACATATCTCCCTGAGGAGGTGTGAGCTGCCAAAAAATGTCTGAAGGCCACGACGGAATCACTGAGTATGCATGTCAGAAATAGTCAACACCAGTAATCCAGTGTGAACCTGTAGGCTTATCTATTCGACTAAATAGAGCGACACATTGTTCAACAGTTCAGTAACTGTGTTGGATTACCTTGAAGACTGCATATGTGATGTGGTTCGAACACAGCTGCTAAAGCCATTAAGACAGAAAGCAGGATACACGAGAGTCTATAATCTTGCTCGCCAGCAGCATTGTAGCGCACATTCCCAGGCTGTTCTGTGCCGAGGGTGACTGCTGCCTTTGATATTATGAGGATTACCGCTGTGCTCAAGGCATGACTCGTGAGGAGTCAACACATCCATCCAGGAATTACCAGGCCATACCATGGCAGCCACGCATCTCGAAGTGATTGAAGTCGCGGCTGTCCCGGGACCTCCCGGTCCTACGAGATACCAACTTTGGTAATTATG